TTACCATGAATTCATAGGAATCCTAGTTGCCTTGTCTGCTGGTTTTCACTCAGGATGCATCATTTTCTCATATGTTTAAGAGATTTTAGTTTTGAGCGGACGTTTGATGAAAACAAAGCAAAACAAAACCTCTCTTCTCCAAAGATTCTTCTGGAACCTGATTCACCCAAGTGTTCTCCAGAACTCCTGTTAGGTGTGCTACGGGTCATGACATGGGAAACTTTTCACTTGATAGATTTACAGAAGGAGGGATAGTCAGAGTGATCTTCCAAACACTGGTTTGCTCGACAAATGGCCACAACAACCTGAACTGGGCTGATCCGAAACCAGGAGCCAGGAGCTACTAATGGGTTTCCCACATCAGTGCAGGGGGTCCAAGTACTTGGTTCATCTTCCTCTGCTTTCCCAGATTATGGTCAGGCAGCTAGATTGAAAGTGGAGCAGGTGGGACAAGAACTGGTGCCCCTATGGGATTCTGGCACCTCAAGCAGATATACCACTGTGCCAGCACCAAAGAGGTAAACTCTTTTGAGATTTTGAGGCAGAGAGAAAGAGGTAGAAAGATCTTCCATTCACTGGTTCACTCCTCAAATGGCTGCAACTGCTGAGACTGAGTCAGGCTGAAGCAGGAATGAGGAACTCCATCTGGGTTTCCCATGTGGATGGCAGGGGCCACAAACCTTGGGCCATCTTCTGCTGTTTTCCTGGGTTCATTAACAGGAAGCTGGATTGGAAGCAGGACAACTAGGACTCATGCCAGTACTCTGATATGGGACCCCAGTGTCACAAGTGGCTGTCTAACATTTTGTGCCATCACTGACCCAACTTAGGAAATATTTATGTTCATTTCTTATATTCTAGATTCTTGTGCCAAATGGATAAGACTCAACTCACTAAGCTGGGTTCTGGTATTATCACTTGTAGCTTAAGTACATAGTATCTATATTCTTACATGAGGGACTAGAGCTTCCTTTTTAGTATTTAGGGAGAAGTGTATATTTACTTATTTATGAAGGAGAGAGAGGGAGAGAGAGAGCACTTTTGTTTACTAGTCACTCCCCAAACTCTCACAAGGCATGGATTGGGCCGGGCTGAAGCAGGGAGCCAGCAGAAAATTAATGCAGAGGCTGTCATGGTGACAGGATCCCAGTCACTTGAGCTGTCACTTGCTGCCTTCCAGGAGGGTATTCACTAGCAAAGTAGAACCAGGGGCTGAGTTGGGATTTGAACCCAATCTTTCTCACGTATATGGGATGCAGGCAACCTACCTGGCATCTTGAGTGGCAGGACACCTTTCTTTTTGGAATCCATAATAGATGGAGTCAAGAATAGCTGGTGAGCTCTTTCTGAGATGGGTGGGTTATGCAAGCCACAAAGCACCTGCCAGAAGACCATGAGGCACCCGGTCCACCCGGAGATCTTGTACCTTGTCTTGTCCCACAGTGAGTAGAGTAGCTCAGGCTTTCCCCTGGTACAGATGAGGGACTCATGCCCATTGAGGCCACCAGGAGTTGGGAAGAATAGGGAGAATGACTCATGTCTCTGAGTGGTTCTTTCCTCCCAACCCAGAGTTCAGCTATTCAAGAATTGTGTCCTGATCCCAGTTTGCCCTGAAAACAGGGCCCAGCCCCTGCCTTCCCTGTTGGGGCACATAGAGGAAGTAGAGGCCTCAGATGCAGTGGACAGGCCCTGTGGATTTATTGGATGCACACTTTGACACATGTCCGGGCTGTCTGCACAATCACACTTTGAAGAATCAGTGTTTTGAAGGTCTTGATTTATCATGTTGTCATTGTTGTTCAAAGGCAAGAACATGCTTTCAAAGTGACCTTTTCAACTCTGTAATGCTTGTGCCCCAAAGGGCCGCATGAAAGGAACAATGAGCACCATCTGCCACAGGAGCCTGACTGAGGTCCTCACTGGAGATGAGAGCTTTGGGAATGGCACTCAGTTTCTGTGCCGGCTTTCGCAGCTGATGGATGGCTTTCCGGCTGCAAGTCCCATGACTGGGAGGAGAGGGCCCAACCATACCCTGCCCTGCAGGCATATAACCCCTACCATTTCTCGTGGCTGGAGCCAGGGCACTCGGTTGGGATGCTTGGACTTGGTTCCAGGATCTGCAGGAAGTTATGGAGTCATGGGCAAGGGGAGGATTGTGAACTAGAGCAATGGGTTAAGGGAACATCTAAAGCCAGTGCCTAGCTCCTCTGTGTTGGGCCATGTCATGTTTGTCCTGCCTGTAATCCCACACCTGTGGGAGTCCCTTCAGCCTTCAGCATGCTTGTGACGCTGCTGCTGCACTGTTGACATACGCACATTCTCTGCGGTTGCCACTCTTGCCTTGTGTCTGGGTTTCCCATTGCTGCTGTAACAAACCAACAAATTCAGTGGCTTAAGACCAAATGGATCTACAACATCACAGTTCTGGAGGGCTCAAGTCCGCTGGGCCGACGTCAATAATGGCAAGGCTGGCTGTTTTCTGCAGACTCTAGGAAGAGTTTGTTTCCTTGCTGTTTTCATCTTCTGTGTCCTCCTGTGTCCCTTGGCTCTTGACCCTCTCTTGCATTCTCAGAGTCTGTCACTCCATTCTGTGCTTCCTCATCACACCATCATCCTCTCTGCTGTGTCCCACCTCTGTGTTTTCTTGTGAGGACCTCTATGATTGCAAGTGGTCTTACTCTGGTAATCCTGGATACTGTCTGCACCTCAGAACCCTTAATTCAGTTCCATTCAGAAAAACTTTTGAACCAGGTGCAATTACATGCACAGGTTCTGGAGATTAGGATGTGTATAGCTTTGGGGGCCAATCTTAACTCCATCATACCACATCAGGTTGCAATTTATTCTGTTCATTTTATACATCTGCCATTCTTTCAGGTCGGGGAGCCTGCCAGTGAAGAATGAATTAATCCATGCTTTGTAGTTGGGAACATTGGGTTAGTGTGAGTTTGTTGGAGGTTTTTGGAGATGGAGTAAGTGTATGGTATATGCCGTGTAGCTGAGGCTTGTGGGAGGGAAGAAGTGCAGGTGCAGTGAGGTGGCACAGGGTAAGATGAGATGGGCCATGGGTGGCCAGGATATGGGTGGAGAGCCTTGTGGGACATCTTCAGAGACCTGGATGTTAGTTTTCAAGGAAACTGGTCATGTGCCTACTGCCTTTACATTTGCAGTTGCCATTCTAGTTTAAATATCTGCACTGCCACTCACTGGCTGTGTAACTCTGGGAAAATTACCCAGTTCGCAGAGCTCTTCTGAGAAGCAGACAACTTTTGAGGTTTGCAAAGAGCTTGGCCCAGCGCCTCAGGGCCAAGGAGCCATAAAGAGGTTACTGTTATTACTGCTGTTGCATTTATCAGTGTGATTGTCAGTGGCAGCAGCAGTGGGGATGATGCGGAACCTTTGGGCACCTGCAGCAGTGTCATAGTCAGCCTTGCTTCTTAGGAAGATGGCTTTTTCTGCCACATGTAGGTGGGTTGAGAGGTGGGTCTGACTGGGGACCCAGGAACGAGTCAGGAGGCCATCAGAGTGATCAGAGTGAGAGGTAGAGAGGGAGGGTGCAGCAGCGGCATCTAGAGAGCCTAGTGGACTTGGGATCATTGAGAAATATCTTTGCTCCTGCTGTTTCCTGCTTGAAATGGTTCAAAAGTGACTGGAGAGGCCATCTGGTATCATTCCCTGCCATTTCCATGAAGACAGGGCCATTGAGGCACAACCAGGGGCATCTGCCCCTGGTTTCTAGCTGAGCTTGTAATGGAGGTGCAGACAGAGAGGGAGAACTTGGGTCCCAGCTGCGCCACAAAACAGGTGGGGACAGGAGAAGGAATGCGGGAAGGGGCTTTCAATGAGGGTCCTTTCTTGTTGATGCATGGTGGACTCCCTACTCAGCCTTATCCTCCACTGCCCTTCTTGCATCCTTCTCCCCGCCCCTCTTGGCCTTAGCTCCTCTTTCCAACATATTCTACCTCAGTGCCCTGCAAGGACACTTGTAGATTCCTGATAACATCGAGGTGCAATGCGCCAAGGGAAGTGGCTCTGCTGAGTTGAGGAGGTCAAGTGGACAATGAGCCTCCTGGGAGTAGGGAGAGCTCCATGTCCCACAGCCAGCATCCAGAGCAGCGCGTGCTCCCAGACTGGTACTGCGTGTCCTCCGTGGTCCTCATGCCACCCCTCATACATCTCCAGGAGGAAGCCAATTCAATAGCATGCACCGCCGTGGGCCTGTGATTGTTACTCCAGTCATATCTCACCCGGCAGGGATGTTGGAGGAAAATATATTTCAATGCCACGTTCAAAAGGGCTGTCATGGCTAATGTGGTAAAATGGGTTTCAGAAGGTGATGTAATATTGTTATTTTTAATGCATTCTTTCTGGAAAATGATTTTGCTTTAGTTCAGATCGATGCACGCTGGAGGGGGGTGCAAAAAGTCTCAAAGGAACTATGGTCCAGGTAGCATGCATTATGACAGCTCTGTGTGGACTTTCTGGAGCTGCCAAATCAGAAGTGTGTGGCGGGTTTTCAGGGAACATGAAGGCCTGTCCATGTGTACTTTGAACACCTTTGGTGTGTTGCCGAGGTTTCTTCTGAGCGATGGTTTTATCTGAGAACTAGGAAAGAGGGAAACAAACCAACCGAAGGTATACGGAGAGATGCGTACCTCCTGGTGCTGGTCACAGGCACCTGCTCTTTGTGTGTGTGTTTGCTGGCATACTCAGAGTTTGTCACTTGTCACAATGATGCCAAGTGTCAGAGCACAGAGTCTGGTCACCCTCTAAGTTGTTGGGGTGTGTGCCCCTATGGGAGCTGACAGTCCCCATGTCCTTCTCCCCCTGGAGGCCACTTGCCCTGTGCGTCATGGAGCCTAGGCTGAGGGAGAGGGCACAGGTGTGGTGGTGGGGTGGGGCCGAGGGAGTCTGTCTCCCACACACCATCTGCTTTCTCCAGCTATTGGTGTTTTCTCTGTGCTTCTCATCTGGTTCATTGTCATTTTTTTTTCCCCCAGGAAACCTCCACTGCCAGCATTTGAGAAGGAAGATGGGGAATTGAACATCCTGCAGCTTGGTGGGTATGGTTACTGCCTCTGGGCTGTAAGGCTCGTTTGCTCCACCTGAGGGTGCCAGGGGGCAGGTTGCAGAAGAGGATTCACTGTACTGGCTGGCTTAGCTTTGTGGACTGAACATATTCACCTGTCTTGGTATCTGGGGTCAAGACGGGTAGCGCTCCCTGCCCCTGTCCAGGCTTACAGCCATCTCTGTCTCTGACTCTCTCTAATTCTCTACACTGCAAAGACTGAGGTATCTAAGGGCTTGGCACAAGCCGCAGCGAAGGTGAGGCTGCTGGGCCCAGACCTGCCGTGAGAGGCCATGGCATGGGTACCATCCATACCTGCTGCTCTTCTAGCAGTTGGCCACATACACTGCTGCTTCCTTCCCAGTGTTCTTTTTAAGTTGCAGGAGGAACGCAGTATGCCCTTTAGAAGTGCCTCATGTGAGCATGCAGGCTGGCGGCCGTCTTTGATGGCTGTGCAAGAGAAGGCGACCAGCTTTGTTTATTTTGCACAGCTCACTTGAGAGGGAGCAGGGCCCCAGGGCTCTCATCGCCAGAAGTGGCCGGCAGGGCCACTTGGCCTCCCCAGGAAGGGGCAGGTTTCTGCCCCTTGGCTGTGTTGAGAGAAGGACGGAGCCAGGAAGCCCGGCGTCGCATGCTTTGCTGTGAAGCCTCTGCACTTGAAGATTTTCCAATGAAAGCCGCTCGGGTTCTGGACGCAGCACGAGGCAGTTCCTGCCCTTAGAAGCCAGGGAGCTTATCCTGGCAGGAAGGCTGCTAGCAGTTCTCGGAAGCCAGCTGTTTGAAGTGTGTGTGTGTGTGTGTGTACACAAGTACACACACATGATTTCGGCAGGGGATCAGGGTGAGGCTCAGCTGACCATGTAGAAAAGAAACAACCAAAGAGAAGAGGTCATGGAACCCAGTGACTGAGAGAGTTCCTAGGAGAGGGAGGAGGACAGAGCAGGCTTGGGGTGAGGCCTGGGGTGCAGAAACAAGCAGCTGAGCATGGTGGAAGAGCAGCCCATCCCTTCCTGCTCAATGCATGCCACCCACATTCCCTCCCTTTCTGGCCACCATGGTACAGTCTAGCCAGGGCAGATGATACAAGGGGCTTTGCCTTTCTGGAGGGCAGGGCTGGGAAGGGCACAGGAAGAGAGGTGGAGCTAGAGGACCAGTGGTGCTTAGTGGTGTCAAGAGATGTATCAGCCATGTGTTGTGGAGGGTTCTGGAAATGTCCATAGCGAGGTGTCATTTATGGTGGATATGGGGCTTGCCAAAGAGACATGGAATGAGCCAGGTGGGCCAAGGTCTGGAGTGTATGTGTGAGAGATAGGCTACCCAACCTCCAAGGGGGGGCTCGGGTGCCTGGGAGTACAGGCTGGGGCAGGTGCAGATGATGCTCTGAGCTGTGTGAGGGGTCGGGCTGTATGTTACAGGCCAAAGGGAGACCTGGAAGGTACCATGCTAGTGAGTGTGATGTCAGAGCTGTGTGTTTGGAGATGCCTGTATCTGGGCTTCGATGTAGGATGGTTCTAGGGTAAGATGGAAACCTGTGAGGGGGAATCTTGGAATAGTCCCTCTTAGGGGAGCTCCCTGCAGTGCTGGTGCCGCACTCATTGCATTGCAGTTCACTGGGGGTGCTGTCTGCTTCTTCCCCTCTGTACCACCTCTCTCTCATGATGTCCCTGGTATAGTGTGGGTGCTTGATAGAGCACTTAGTGAGCAAGCAGAATAGTGCCACCTTCCTGGAGTCATGGTGAGAAGATGGTGATGGGGCGGGAAAGGTGGGAGACAGTGTGGGCGGGGTGCTCCAAGGTTGGAATGCTTGGGAATTAGGTGGTGCAATGGGGCCTTTTGTTAATGACAAAGCCTGCAAGTCACCCCAAGTTCACACTGTGCCAGACTCCCAAAAAGAGTGTGTGAGCAGTTCTCCTTTCAAATGAAATAAGTCATGCAAGGGCTGGCATTGTGTTATAGTAAATTAAGCCTCTGGTTCGAGTCCTAAGTGCTCTACTTCTGATCCAGCTCTCTGCTAATGCCGTGGGAGAAGCAGTGGAAGATGGTCCTAGTGCTTGGGCCTCTGACGCAAATGGAGTTTCTGGCTCCTGGTGTCAGCCTGGCCCAGCTCTGGCTATTACAGCCACCTGGGGCTGAACCAGCATATGGAAGATCTCCCTCTCTCTTTGTAATGTTGCCTTTGAAATAACTAAAATATTTTTAAAAAATCAATTATGTTATGCAAGATCTTAAGAAAGTTCAAGGAAAAGGCATATCATGAAAAAATCTTGTACAGATTTCAAATTTCTCTATACTTCAATTTATCTTTTAATTCCATTTTCTACAATCTTTCTGAAGTGCCCTCATATACATATATATGTATATATATATTTTTTCTTCCAAAGGGTACAAAAAGTAGTACAGGAAATAAAACCTCTTTGCTTGTTTTCACCCAGGCCTTAAATAGCATCTCAGACCTCTTGCACACAGTTTTGTTGGCTTGGCCAACATGTCATTCTGGAGTGTTTTTCTTTTCCCTTGCATGGCAGTCCTGCCACTTCTGGGCCCGAGGCCTGCTCTGTGGTCCTGAACCAACTCCCTGTGCTGGACCAGTTCTTCTCCCCCCCTTCCCAAGGGGAGGCAGCCCCGGCCTGTGCCCCAGCATGTTCTACCTCCCTGGTCCCCCAGCCTTCAGCCCAGCCCTCCCTTCTGTGGGTCTGGCAGAGCACAATGCAGGCCTGGCTCCCTTTCTTTCTCCCAATCCCAGACTAGTTTTTAAAGATCCATTTGTGCTGTTCAGTGAGCATCTGGTCTTTATTTCAGATTATTATTTTTGGTAAGACCAAGGTCACAGATTCGCTTTTCCAGAGCCGCTAAGAAGAGTCCTCATGTAATGTGGCTTCCTGTTTAAATTCCAAGTCTTCACTAGCCCCAAGGTCAGAGGTAGAATCTGTCTCCTTCTTGTTCAAGGGACCTAATCCCTGGGACTTTGCCTGGTGCTGTGTCCAATGGGAGTAAGGGAGGCTGTGGGGGAGCATGGAATCCATGTGTCCTGGGGAGGGGGTCTGTTAACACAATCCTTCGCCCAAACAGGGAGCCCCCAGGGCCTGGTCTGCTCAGCTTCACCAGCATGGTTGCCATGGGAGTGTTTCCCCTTGGTCCTTCAGAGAGGGTGGCCTGGTGCAAGGGGGCCTCGCTGGCTGGGCAGTCACAGCTGGTGCTGCCAGACTCGGTGCGGGGCAGTGGGAAGGATCTCCCTCTGGGCCTTGGAAGGCCCAAGTGTCAGATGATTGTGTGGAATGTGGCATTCATGTCTCTATCCCGGCTCTATCACATTCCGAACCTCAGTTTCTTCATCGGTAATGGGGATAGTAGCCATTGCTCTCTTGTAGGGTTCCACAGGATGGGGATGCCATCTGGGGGTCCATAGGTGTCAATTCCAGGCATGACAATCTGCTGGTGTTCCTGTTTGGTCAGGGGTGCTTGTGTTTCCTCTCTTAACTCTGTCCTCTTAGTGCTTGTCTTCGGGGGCTGAATCGATGTGTCATGCTTACACCAGGTGTGATGCTGTACTCTTAAGACCCCGGGTGCTAGCTTCCCTGCATGCCCATGCCCACCCATGGCATCAGTGGTACAGGCCACTTACCTCCTCCTTGTGGCTTGGATGGGTAGGGCAGTGGTAAAGGAGCCAGGTCTCTGGATCTGCTGTCTTTGCTGCTGCTGAGGGCCAGGGAGCCCAGAAGCCCAGAAGCAGAGGCCAGGCTGACAACCTGTCATTTAAAACTTCTCCAAACATGTCCATGTCTGTGTCTGTGGTGTTGAGCCAGTCCTTACGAGGGACTCCTATTCTTCCAGAGGACGTGGAGGATGACTTGGTAAGGGAAGACATTGTCCTGCCTCCGGCTCCATCGATACTCAAGCTGCAAGCAGTGTCCAAGCCCATTGACCTCTCAGTAGCCAAGGTAGGTCTCGCCTTAGAGGTGTAAGGAGATGCCCAGGGAGGTATGTCCTGGTGCAGCTGGATGAGGGTGTTGATCTTTCTGGCCCAGTCCACATCACTGGCATCTCTTGGTCAGTGTTGTAATGGAAGTTTGGGGGTGAGGGAATGAGGAGTAACGTTGAGGTTCAGGAGAATTGTGGCTTTTGTCCTGGAACCCCACCTTTTCCTCTCCTAGACAAAGAGGTCTTGTCTTCATCCACCCAAGCTTTGCAGGGCTCTGTTCTTTTTTTTCAGCCCAAAGCTGTTCCACTACATGTGTAATGGGCGGGCTGGCCTGGGCGGGCTGGCTGGCTGGACTTTCTCTAGCTGTGTTGCTGTGAGCCAAGGACAGGGGGTGTTAACGATCTTGCAGTGCCATCCAGGTTCATGCCCGTGGCCTCCTAGAGGGACCCTTGGTCATGGACCACAAGGGGCACCCTCCTTTGTAGGACTCAGCAGCCACGGTTTCCAGGATGGCCTCGCCCTGCCCTTGGCCCAGAAGTTCCTGCAGGATGGAATGTTGCCCCTGCTGTTCTCCGGTGGCCTTGCAGCTAGGAGCAAGGAGCCAGGAGGGAAAACCAAACCCTCCGGGACACAGCTGACCTTCTTCCCTTCCCTGTGACTACATTTATTCAGCACACAGACTCAGAAAGTACGAGATCTTTCTAGAGATTTGGTCCTTGCCATCTCCTTCTCTGCCCCTGCTAGCCCTTCCTCCTCTTTCCCCTCTCCTTTTTTCCTGTCCGTCTTTTGTCAATGAAAGACACACATAAGTGGCTTCTAGCTTGAGTCACTCCAGGGCTGTGATTCTGTGCACGTGGCATTCCCATGGAGACCACCCAGTAACCCACCCCCAAATAGCTGTACAGTGTGAGGTCCCTCAAGAGGAGAGAAGGGCCCAAGGCCAAGGACAGTTTCAGAAAGGACTCCAGTCTCTGTTGGCCACACTGTCTGTGCCTGGCAGGAAGTGCCTTGCTGTGACTGAACATGTGAAGAAAAGCCCATCTCTTGGGGAACTCCCTTCCCACACGTGGGTGATTTATAGTTGGCACAGAAGGCCCCGAATGGGCTCATTATTCCTCCTGTGTGCCACCGGCCATCAAGGCAGACAAATGCTCTCAGCACAGAGCTCTCCTCGTATGCAGTTCAAAGAAAACAAACTCAATTCTCTTGGGAAATAGCCCAAGTCTATGGGACACAGCTGCCTGAGAAAGGGGTCCAGCAAGAATGGCGTGGCTGCAGAATCCACTGGTTGGTGCTGGGAGAATCACTTGGAGCTTCAGAGAGCTCTAGGGTGTAAAGTCATGGCAGAGGTTCGGGGTGCCCACTGGCAGGGAGCTGGAGGGAGATGCTCTGCCTTCCCACCCAAGGGCCGTTCGTGGGGGGGGATTGGCAGGTTCCGGGGCTCTAGGGGTAGTGTTTGGGGTGACAGGATGCATACAGTGAGCTCAGTATCAATCAGAAGTCTGGAGAAGACAGAGTTGTTAGAGAAATGCAGGGGTGTCTTCCAGGTAGTTGGGGCGGGTGTCCACATGGAGTCCATGGGACCCCACCCTCCCAGGTGGCAACAGAATGGAAATTCTTACTCATGGCTAAGAGTTGTGCTAGAACAGGGTTGGCCACCTCCTTCTATAATAGACAGTATGAGGATAAATGAGCATTTTATTGTGTCAATAAAGCTTTATTTGCAAAAGCAGGCAGGGGGCCAGGTTGGCTCATAGATGGTCATTTGCAAGTCCTGTGTCAGATCATTTGGTCTTCAGGCCGGACTGCACCATGGGATCCCCTGGGCAGTTGTGAAACTACAGCTAGTGGGATCCTGTCCTCAGGTGGGATCAGATTTGACTGGCCTGACACTTGGCCTGAATTTTAAGACTAATTTGTTTATTTATTTATTTATTTTAGATTTTTTTTTTTTTTAAATTGGAAAGTCAGATTTACAGAGAGAAGGAGAGACAGAGAGAAAGATCTTCCATCCACTGGTTCACTCCCCAAGTAGCCGCAATAGCCAGCTGGAGCTGACCCGAAGCCAGGAACCAGGAGCTTGTTTCAGATCTCCCATGTGGGTGCAGGGTCCCAAGGCTCTGGGCCGTCCTCAACTGCTTTCACAGGCCACAAGCAGGGAGCTGGATGGGAAGTGGAACTGCCGGACACAAACCATTGCCCATATAGGATCTCTGTGCATGCAAGGCAAGGACTTTAGCCACTAGGCTACTGCACTGGGCCCAAGACTAATTTATTTTTATTTTTAAATTTTTTAGGACTATTTTTTAAAAGATTAATTTATTTTTATTTGAAAGATTTACAGAGAGAAGGAGAGACAGAAGGGGAAGATTTTCTGTCTGCTGGTTTGCTCCCCAAGTAGCCACACTGGCTGGAGCTGAGCTGATTCAAAGCCAGGAGCCAGGAGCCTAGAGCTCTGTCCAGGTCTCCCACATGGGTGCAGGGGCGCAAGAACTTGGGTCATCCTCTGCTGCCTTCCTAGGTCATAAGCAGGTAACTGGATAGGAAATGGAGCAACTGGGACAAGAACTGGCTCCCATATGGGATGCAGGCACATTAAGGTGGAGGATTAGCCTGTTGAGCTACAGTGCCAGCCCCATTAGGACCATTTTTCAGGAGCTTCTTAGTTAATTCTAGTCTATCATGATGCTTGAAACCCTCTAGTGGTTTTTGGGGGAGAACAAGAGGGCAAAACTAAAACTTCATATTTCAAGTGGTCTCTGGGAGACCAAAGACATTGATCCAGGTCAGCACAAACTGGCGTGGCTGACAGATGTTCCAGAGGTAAGATCTCAGGGTCAAGTTTCTCTGGCCTCAACCACAAAGAAAATAAAAAGCGATAACCCTACTAGGAAACAGACCGCCCTGCTAGATGTCAAGGTCAGCTCCTGTGGGAACAGGCACATCACGCACTACATTGTTGCTTGATTTTGAAGTAACATGGAAATGCTCTCTCTCCTCTCTCTTTTTTACAGGAAATAAAGACTCTTCTGTTTGGCTCCAGCTTTTGCTGTTTCAATGAAGAGTGGAAGCTGCAGAGTTTTACCTTCAATGAGGTGGCCTCGTTGAGATATGGCATTGTGCAAAGAAAGGCAGGTGGCTCTAGGGTTTCCCCCAGGCCCTCTGCCATCCCATCTCACACCTCAGGCAGCAGGCACTGTGGAGCTTTTTTCGTAGGTCCTGCAAGGACCCATAGGACCCTCCAGGGGTCAGCCTGATGTCAGCTGAGTTGTTTCTCAGTCAAGCATTGCCTGGGTGGCTGGCAGAGCACGAGCTGGGGAGTGAGGCCCTCTGCCCTGGAGATGTTTGACTTGAAGATGGATTCGAGGGGCACACGTTGTTGAGTGGTGCACGCTGTTGGGATCCTCGGACAGAGACAGCAGGCTGGCTGGGAACACAGGGAGGCCCTTGTAGGTTGTGTTGAGAACCGTGCTGGTTTCTGCAGGCAGAGACAAAGTAAGGGCCCTTCAGACAGGTGGCGCAGAATTGAAGGACCATTTATACAAAAGTGTAGAGCCTGCAGGAAAAGGCAGAGGCATCAAGTGTGTGAAGCAGGTCCTCGAAGAGAAGAAGCCCTAACAGCAGGAAATGTAGGTGAGCAGAGGCAGGCTTGGAAGGCGGCTTGTCCACATTCCCCCAAATTGCTTGTTAAAGGCCAGAAGAGACTAACCTTGAACCCTAAATACAGCAGGGCAGCTCCCTCAGTTCCCTTCCTCAAGCCTGGAGCCCCCTCCTGCCCCCCATTGTACAAGGCAGAGTCCCAAGACCCCCCTTGTGTGGCTAACCTCAGTTCATCTCCCTGCTCCTGCCTCTGTACTATTCTGATATGTTCTGTAGGTCAGGGCCTATGCTAAGTGCCGTGGTGTTCACAGAACCAAGCTTGACTTCCTGGAAGAGGCCGCCATCAGGATAAGGCCTTGATGGCAAAGTGGACAACTGATGCCCTCAGCCTGTGGATGTGGAAGCCTGTGGTGGTATTGCTCATGTCATACCTAACTGGTGTGAAGTCACAGATTCGCCCTTTTCTCTAGGCTAGGGCCTCATCTTCCCAGCTCTGGGACTCAGGATCAGCATGCTGTGGCTGTGACATCGCCCGTGAGAGAGCCATTTCCAAGGGTGCCTGGCGCTGTGAACTGGGATGGGCAGGGGATGGTGGGGTTGGGGGTTATGTTCCCAGGGGCCATTCTTCTAGGCTATAACATGTGCCTTTCTTTGCAGGGGGGCCCTTGCGGAGTGCTGGCTGCTGTCCAGAGCTGTGTCCTGCAGAAACTCCTGTTCACAGGAGATGGTGGAGCCGGCTGTGCTCGGTAAGCCAGCACGTGTTCGGGCAGTGGTCTTCTTTTGCCCAAGGCTTCTCAGGAGCGTCCATAAAAAACAAGCAAGGAAGCGTGTGTGTTCCCTGATAGCTCCCATCTTCTGAAGGGCCAGAAAGGCAAGGGTCATGGGGCAGCTTCCAGTGGGGCCTGGCCAGGCTGCACAGCTGGAGGGGAAGGATGCTGGGAAGCTGTGTGCTCTGCAGTGAGGGGCTGCTGTCAGGGCTGCCAGTGGGAACCCTCCTGCTTCTCAGCAGGCCACACCAGCTCTCTCTGGCTCCAGCCAGGTACTCCTTCCCTCTCTACTTCCTCTCCTTGTTCTCTCCCCTCCACCAGCAGGAAGAACCACACAAGGTGCCATGTTGCATTGCTTTCACTCCCAGCACATGCTCGGTGTTTGCACATGTGGACCCCTCATTCTCAGTTACTCAGGCCCCACCCCCAGGGTCTGGGGTGTCTCTATGCAAACACAGCAGAGATGAGAGGCAGAGTAAGATGGAGAACCCTGGGCCCTGGCCCTGCATCCCAGGATGCTACCCAGATGAAAGGATTGGCAAGGGCAACCTTCTTAACTGCCTCCTCCTTGCTCTCACCCTGCGTCACCCTCAGAGCTGCAGGGCCTCTGGCAGTGACGCCTTTTCTTCTTTGTTGAACTGTAGCCCATATACAGACAGGTTCACCAGGGTGTGCCGAGTGATTCACCACTCATGCAGGCATCCTCCCCTGCACTGTGAGCATTTCCCCCGGATCAAGACCGAAAACACTTCCCGTCATATTCAGAAGTCCCCTGATCTGCCCATGGTAACCCCCATACTCCTCAAAGCTGGGGCTACACAGGCTCACCAGCCATTGCTTTCATTTGCTGGTTCCTAAACTTTTCCCAAAGGTACCTGTTATTTGAAGTAAGTGCTTCAAAACCTTTGGGAAAAAGCCTCACATGTTAAGAAGACACACACCTGTTTATTCAGGTTCAGATTTCAAGAGAGTCATTCATCTAGCACACAAATGACACGCATTTCAGCAACATGGATGGGGCAGAGTGAAGGTGGCTCTCATGCTTGCTGGCCTATAATTTTTGCAATAGTTCTCCAAAATGGTCATCACGGTGTTTCCTCCCAAACAGAAAGATGCTGACCTTGAGCTGAGAGTGTGTCTAACCATGAAGCCATAGACACAGCATTTCATGGCAAGATCCCATGTGGTCCCAGTTCTTGTCTTTGCTTTCCACCTTGGATCTACCCACTGTCACTTCCGACTGTGCTACGCCTTTCCCCATTGCCTGCCTCAGGAGTCCGGCCCAGCAAAGTGCTGGGATGTTCAAGTTTAATGTTGTGGAGACAGATGCTGCCGTCACCTTTCCATGGGGAGGCCACTGTAGTCCTCCTTGATAAGAAGCAACATGGACTCAGGGGATTTACTAAGTGTGGGACCCTGGTATCTCTGACTGTCAGAGCAAGCTCATATCGTATACTTAGCAGGTGCTGGACAAGACAGATGAAACCTTGCCCTCGTGGTACCTGACACTGAACTAAGAGCCTGACAATGGACAGGCAGTGGCAGGAGGGTCTGCAGGAGGGAGGCTTAGGGTTCACCTGAGAGGCTTTCCCGGGGAGTCATGTTTTGATCTTGCCAAAATCTCAAGCACCTCCTCAGACTTTCGTTTTCCTTTAGTTCTTTTCCACTTCCCAGGCCCACGGGGAAGTGGCCTGCTGGCTCCTGTCACCACCCGGGGTAGGTCTTCCATGTCTTCCCCAGCTCTGCTGTCACACGATGAGCCAGCATCCTTGCTTGTTGCTGCTGCAGTCTTGCCGAACACAAGCCCCTTGAGAGCAGGGACCTCCCCTGGGCTGCCTGGGCTCCACTGTGGGCCACAGCCCTGCCCCTGGCTGCCAGCCCAGTGCCTAACCCACAGTGGAGGCCCTCAGGATTTTTGCTGAATGAAGGCATGGACAAATGAATGAGTTATGCAGACAAACAGGGAGGGGAGGCAGAATGGTATGCCAACAAGGAGAACAAGATGTGCGAAGGCCTGGGGGCAGGGAGCTGAGGGCAGCCTGGCTTGGGGTGACCAGGGCAGTGCCTGGAGGCAGGCTGAGGTGGGGGGGCCTGGGGATGGGAGTGGCAGGTGGCCAGGGCAGTGCCTGGAATCAGGCCGAGGTAGGGGAGTCTGGGGTGAGGGTGGCAGGTAGCGAGGTTGTGGGAGTTGGGGATAGTTTGCAGCTGCCTGGGGTAAGCCAGGTCTTAGCAGTCACTACAATGGTTCTTAACCCCCTTCAATCCTGCTGCATTTGAGTGTCGGCTCTGGATTGGCCAAGGGAAGTTGAAGTTACAGGCAGTTTCCCAATGGTCAGGAAGGAGCATTCCACTTGGTTCCAGAAAAGGCTGACCCTTCCTCCCCTCCACTTTCCCCTTCCTCCTGAGAGGATGGGAGAGTTTCTGTGTCCTCTAGGCCACATCCCTGGGCAGAGCTCTGCCCCCCATACTGGAGAGGGAAGCCATGCTGGCATAGGCTGAAGCCGTTCAGAGGGCGGACCCAAGGGTGGCTCATGATGGAGAGAACAGCTGGGCTGTGGGCAGGGTGTCCGGCTCCATCTCCCTGGACTGAGTAGGCTTCAGCTTCCCTGCTGAGCTCTACTTCAGTCTCAGTTGGTGTTGCTACACCTGCTCCCCAGGGCTCTGTGATAGAGAGGCAGTAGGGAAGGCAGCCTTGACCCCCGGACTCCCTGCCTCCTTGGCCTGAAGCCAAGAGCTGGGCTGGCCTGCACAGAGATCTCCTGAAAGGGTGCAGAGGAAGTAGAGGCAAGAAGGAGCGGCCAACCTGCCAACCTGCTGACCGGCCGGGCTTGTGTTGTGTGCTGGGGTTGTGCCTTATGGGGAGGAGCCTTCCCAGACCCCATAGTCCCAAGATTTCAGAAGTGATGCTGCTTTCAAAGGAGAGAGGGAGAACAGAGGCTGGCTGCTGAGCTTCTTCAGGAATGCTGTAGTGACCTGTCACAGTCTGTGACCTGGCATCCTGTGTGTGTGCAGCACAGAGCTCCGAGGCAAGAGGGAGTCCTGCCCTTTCCTTCCTGCCCACCCCAGGTTCCTAGGCTGGGTCCTGCCCTGGAGGCCCCCTCCTCAGTGTGTCACCACGGCTGGCTGGCACCGGGAAACGATTCTGTGACAGCAGAGAGCGGTGGACAGGCAGGCAGGCGGTACCGTCCAGGGAAGTCACGCCGGAGTCAGGGCTCCTTGGCACAGCCACTGTGTCTGCGGCAGGCACGTCTGGCTAGGCATCGAGGCCCAGCACTGAGCCCGCAGCCGAACAGATGGAGCCCAGTGCAGGCTTGGGGATTTTCCACTTGAGGTGGTGCTGGCCTGGCTCTGAAGACAGAGGGTGGAGAGGGAGCGAGTCTTGTTCTCCCTGCAGGCCTGGAGAGCAGTCAGAGCTGGGGAGAGAGCTGGGGGAGGGTGCAGGGCAAGTGGCCATCTTACCCACCCACACTTACTTAGCAAACTAAAGGCTAGAGTCCCAGAGTGGAAGAGGCTTCTGCCCTAAGCCCCTCTGGGCCTGGGCAGTGGGGCCATGTGAAAATGCAGGCTTGGTGCTGCAGGTCGGCCCTCATTCCCTTCCCCTTCCTTCTTTGATTTTGAGCTTGCAAGGGAGCAGAGAGCAGGGGAAGAGAGTATGTTGCTCTCTGGCCAGCCTTCACCTGACTTTTCTGTGGACTCGATGGAGGTGGCAGGTCGAGGAGAGTGGAGGCTGCTATGAGATATTTAGGGAAGAAGCGTTGTGTCTCTGAAACATGAGGGTAGGACAGGCTGGAGCAGACTGCATTTTCTTCTGCTCCACACCCAGCTGGTCCCTGCCTAGACAGCTTCATCCTGCACTTCTCCTGGGCGGAATTTGACTCTTAAAGACACTTGTCCTGGTCTAAGAGCCTGGCCCGGTGCCAGATTCCTGGTAGGAGTGTGTGTCTCACAGACCAGGAAATGCAGAGCCGTCACTGTCCCTGCGGGTGTGTCGGCAGGTGCTGAGCAGCCTGGGGAAGCAGGGGTCGGGGCATTCAGGTGGCTCCTTTATTGTCAGCTGGGGGTCCCCAGCACTGTGACATTTCTCTGGAAGGGCTACATGGCAGCATGCATCCTGGGGTGCATTGGGGAACATCTGGGCTGGAGCTTGAAGTGTATAGTTATAGGGGAAGCAAAGGCCAGGGATGGAGCCTGGCTTCATGACTGCCTGACCGCTGAACTTGTTCAACGCCAGCCTGTTCTCTAGAAAGACATGACTCAGAAGAGAAAGACCAAGAGGGTCCAGGGAACAGTGGGGAGACAGGAGGAGCCACTGTGGCAGGCAGCAAGTGCTTACAGATAGACACACAGAGGCTTAGAGGGGTTGTGAACCTGTGGAGCCAGGCTGGGTCCAGCAGTGAGAGCTGGACAAAGGACTGCAGTGCCTCGTTCTGACTCTGGTCTCTGCTTATGAGTCAAGCTTCCTGCTGATGTGCAACTCTGGTGGTGGTGGGGGTGGAACGGGCAGCAGGTGGTCTCTACTGCCCATATGGGAGACCTGGATTGAATTCCTAGATCTTGGTTTGTGCCTGTTGTGAACATTTGAGGGTAAAGATGCAAGATCTCTTGTTTGTCTCTCTGCCTGCCCACTGAAATGAAAATAAATCGAAATCAAAGATAGACAAGGCCTAGGGCATTTTTCCATGACCTTGGATAGTTGCCCTCATTCAGTGCAGGCTTCATTTTGCTGCCACTAGGTTGGGGGTTCAGCCACGTCTGTGTTGTGGACGTGACTGCAACCCTGTGCCCTTCCCAACCCTGTGCCTTCCCAAGCCTGTGCCCTTCCCAACCCTGTGCCCAGGATTTGCTTGTGCAAGGGGATGGGAAAGGAGCTGGAGGGGATAGGGTTGCTGCTGGGATGCTGGTAGTGACAGCTCAGCTGAGGTGCACTGCATGCTGACCCAGGACACTGGCATCTCCTCGAGGAAGGCCAGGTATTGAGCAGGAACAGTGGGTAGAGGGTGAGGGAGTCCGCATTTGTGGCTTCCAAATGCAGACAGACAAATAGCCCGTCCTTCTTCCCTGCCCTCCGGGCCTGCATTGGTCCTTGGCATGACCTCTCATGCCCCCACATTGTTTCCCCTGTTAATAAGGTCCCGGGGCTGGCCTCTGACACTTGGCCAGTCCAGTTTGGTGAGAGCTGGAGAGCATTTCCTGCAAGCAGCACGCCTCGGCTTCCTGAGACCTTGGGAGTGTGGGACTGGGCTGCCATTCTGTTTTCTCAAGGGCTCAAAGGCTTGTTACTTGTGTCATTGGCTCTGAAGGACTTCCAGTGTCAGGGGCCCAGTGTCACTCTTCTGTCTAATGTTGGGTGTCCACCTTCCCGGATTGCTGCAGATGGCATGTTTCCAGATGGACCACAGTGACACATGGCACCGAGTGGACTCTTAGCATGGGCCAGGCACTGGGCCCTCCTGGGCTTTGCAAACATGGGTAGGAGGTAAGGTTGTCTGTCAGGGTCCAGCAGGGGAAACTCGGGGGCTACTGCATTATGTGATCTATTGTAAAGTAGGTGGACCACAAAGGCCTGGATGTGCATAGTATACCACAAAAGTCTGGGACGGTGAGCACCTGCTTGCCACCATGGCAGGCTCTGCCCTGGTCTCTAGTGCCACTTCTCTCACTCTGGCAAGGAGGGATGAACCCCAGTGCTCTCTGCACCTGTGGCTGTGTGTGGAGCTCAATGCTGCACAGCCTGGAGCAGGTCCTCATCAAGACCTGCTGCTTATTGGGGAAAGAAAAAGGCAGGGCCGAGGTGAGACTTTCATGTGCATTTAGGGGAACCCACAGGCTGTAGGGAAAGGCATAAGGGGCAACTCTGTGGAGCCCTGGAACCATGTCGTGGGAAAGATGATCCTGCACTCCCTTGTTCCTTTGTGCCTCACCCTGGAACCTCATAGTCCTATCCACACTGGAAGAGGTTCCGTCTCCTTCCTTCTGCACCAGCTGCTGGCTGGCCCTCTCCTGCTCCACCTCCTTCCTGCCTCTGCTGCCCTGCTGATGCCTCCGCAGCTCACTGGGTCCTGTCCTGGGTGGCTCTGCTGCTCCCTTGAGACACCTACTGGGAATTCTGGGGCCAGATGCTTTCCTGGGCTTTCTGTATGTCCCACAGCTTTCCCTGGGTCGGAGAAGGGGAGGGCTAGGAGAATCCACGTGCACCTGCTGCTGGGCAGGTCTGAGGTGCAGCTGTCACTTCCTCCAGCTTTCACCTGTCCCTCATCTGGGCCAACAGTGCTACCATGCATTCCCTAAAACCACATAGGTCATCCTTGAGTTTCTACTACCTCATGCCTGTGCCTGGATCCAAATTTGGCCTCTGCAGCCTCATCTCTAGCTGGTCGGTGGAGAGAGATGCACCTGCCAGCATGAGGTGGCATCTCAGAATTCCTAGGAAAGATCGGGCCTGGGATTTGCCTGAGAGACTGCAGTTTGCACAACTGACTAGCCTCCCCGCTCCCTCCTTCCAGCCTGGCCGAGGGCCCTCCTCAAAGGTTACTCCCCTGGCCTTCATCTGCAGAAGCCTCTCTGCGCTGGGCTCTTTTTGGGGTTTCTGTAGTAGCTCCTGTGGGTGACTGGGGAAACCCGAGGCACCATCTACAGGAAACACTGCCCTACTGTTCCACCCTGTGACCCTGTGAGAGTAAGTGATTTCCTTTCCCTCCCGCAGGCTCCTGCAGCCTTCTGACGCACACAGGACGCACTGTCTCGCCCTGGCCATTGCGGATATCTTGTGGCGGGCTGGCGGCCGGGAGCGAGCCGTGGTTACCCTGTAAGTGTTCCCAGGGCTGTGTTGTAGCAGAGCCTCCAGCAAGTCTGTGGGGTGTCTCCTGTCCCAATGGTGGAAGAATTGCATCCCTGTATCCTCCCAGGATCCTGTCCCCCTGTGCTGGGTTGAGCCTTGGGTGTCAGCCTGAGGTGGCAGGTTCTATATGTCCCATCTTCACAGGGGTGACTCTCAAAGGAAGCACTGAGCCCAATAGCCAGTTCCTCTCCTTTGGAGCTCCCAGTTCTTCCCAGTTCCCAGGGCATTCCCCCTACCTGCTGTGTCATTTGGATGGCACTCAATGGAAGAGGAGCCTGAGAGGTGGCAGCTCATGGTGGCAGAGTGGAGGCCCTGGGCTCTTCCTTATTGCCCTGCCCTGCACAGTCGATGCAGGTGCATGCAGAGGAGGGTTCCCACCCAGTCCCAGCCTTGGTTGAGCCTCGGTAATGGGGGCAGCTCTGAGGAGTACTGTGCCTAGCCCAGGCCCTTTGGAGGTGTATCCTGCCTGCCACTGAGGTGCTTATTGGCTGTGTGACTCTGAGCAACTTACTTCTCTGAAACTCATCTGTGTCTTCCTCTAGAAAATGATGACTCAGCAGGGTGCTTGTGACAAGTCAGTGAGTCAGGACAAACCAGTGATATGTAGAGAGGGAGATAATCTTTCTCATATTTAAAGTCATGCATTAAGGTAAGCGGATGATAGATTCCAAGACTGGACGTCCAAGGGAGCCCAGCACAGACTCGGCATCCTGCAGGTGCTGCTCAGGTGCTTCAGCCATCACCTGTATTCCAGGTGCCTTGTGCTGTTACTTTGTTGCCTGTATTCCTGTGGATTTGCTGACAATGGGGCCAAGGACCCACCTGGACAGTCTGTGTGCTGGGGAAGCAGGAAGTCAGCTTCTCCCTGTCTTATAGATGAGGACATAGGAGCCCAGAAAGGGATGGGAGCTGGTCCAAGGCCATATAGCACAGACAGCCCTCAAACCCAAACCCTGCTCTTGGTTTTGCTATGTCACTGGCTCCCCAGTGGATGCTGTGTAAAGGGTGCTGAGGTTGGCAGTGTGCAGGGGTCACCAACAGGACAGACGCTGGGATCCCCTGTGAGTGGAGACAAAAGCTGAGTGGGCATGGCCTGGCCCATAGATGGTGTTTGTTAGAGGCCAACTTACCAGCGAAAGAGCTTGGGCTTACTGACTCCCAGCTCTCCCCTCTGCTCTCTCCACTATCCCTTTTTTGTTCCTCTGCCATGCCAGGCAGTCCTGATCTGGCCTGGTGGGTAAACTCAAAGCATTATGGAGGTACAAGAAGCCCCTGGTGCCTTGCCTCTCTCTCGGAGCCACCTTGTGTTTGCCCTGGGTGAGTGACACATGTGTCATGACCCTGGCTGGAGGGTATATCATCTCTTCCCCCAAAGAGGACTCACACTCCTTTCTTTCCTTTTTAGGGCTTCTGGAAGTCAGCAGTTCACTCCGACGGGGAAATACAAAGCAGATGGTGTTTTAGAAGTGGTACGGCTTTCTGGAAAACTATCACACACCCTTTGGCTTTGGCTGGGGCCGCCTGGGCAGCCCAGGCCACAGGCTCTCACCCCAGGGTTGGGGAGGAGTGCAGATTGGGGTTGTTTTGGGGAGGGGCCCTGGCAGGAGGAGCTGGTTTTGTGGCCAGAGGGCCTCTGCTTCCCCCCACCCTCCCTCCACCTTGGCCTCGATGGTATGGGGCACTGGGCTTCACAGTCTGAACATGTAGTGGCTGTCGCGTGGGCCGCAGCCACCCCTGCTGGCCTGCAGGCTTCTTTAGCATCCTCTATAGGCTTCCTTGGGGTGAGGAGGTGGGGTGGTAGGAATCGGAGAGGGAGAGTGTGGACAGTGTGGCTCAAGCCAGACCTCAAAGAGATGAAGGAAGGGATAAGAATGAGGGACATAGCTGAGTTTTTGAAACTACGAGAACAATGAAGTTTTCCAATTCTTGGCTACATCTTCACAGAAAAATAATTTTTTTTAAAGATTTGTTTTATTAATTTGAAAGTCAAGAGTTGGAGAAAGAGAGACTTTCCTTCTGCTGGTTCATTCCCCAACTGATCACAACGACCAAGGCTGAGCCAGGCTGAAGCCAGGAGCCAGAAGCTTCTTCTGAGTCTCCCATATGGGTGACAGGGGCCTTTGCTGAGGTGCCTCCCAAAGAATTTTTGTCTTAACTTACTGGTTTCCATTGCCCTCTGTGTGGGCATGTGTGGTCCCAGGTTCTGCATGAGGGGCCTCACCCAAAGGAGAGTTGGGCCCGCTGCTTCCTATTAAGTACCCCACCTTGTGGTTTTTATGGCTAGGATGTGTGGCAAACCCCCCCCTTCCCCACCCCATCAGGAGTGAATGGCCCTCTGCAGGGGTCAGGCTGGCCCAGGGCTGTAGCAGTTCAGATCAGCCCTGGAGTCCCTGGCATGTTCCTTAGGCTAGCTTTGATGTCACACTCAGGTAGGTGTGGTCACCCTTTAGGATGGCCACTCCTTGACAGGAACAGTCCCAATAGGGTGTGGGAGTGATCAAAGCCAGGGCTGTAGAAGCCGCAGCAGGCTGGGGTGCTGTGTGTGAGGGCCTGGGCAAGCTCATCACCTGTCTGTGTTTCTTCCAGCTTACACTGCACAGCCTGAGCTGCTACGAGGAGCTGGTGCTATTTCTCCAGCAAAGCATCCAGCAGGTATACACAGGGGGTACCACACAGGATGAGGAGTCCTCCTCCCCTGGTCGAGGCTGGCCCTGAATGGAGGCTCATGACAATGGGCTGGTTTAGGCTGGGGCAGGGGTTGTCACAGCTGCTAGGTCCAGGACTGGACCAAGGTGGGGTGGGACCAGAGGGGAGGGGAAGTAGTACTGCAGCTGCTCCAAGAGCCTTCTCTGTGTCAGTGGAGTCCGCCTCTGGACACCTGGGCACCGTCTTGGTGGAGTGCGAGCAATGAAGAGGAAGGGATCTGTGGCTGAGACTGGACTGAGCAGTGCCCAAGGAGCCCCTGTGTGGTGTGACTAGGGAAGCAGGGCTGGGTCCAGGGCTTGCAGGCTGCTGGAGGAGAACTGCATGTCCACTGGTATCTGCAGGGTGGGCTGGATGGCCAGACACAGGCTCTGGGGATGGGAGTGGGGTCCTAGGAAGCTGGTGGCATGGCTGCCTTTGTGGACAGGGGATGGGAGAGACTACACACTCCCGGGCAAGGATGTGACCTCTGTAGCCGGGCAGCCTGGCTTTAAAGCGAGGCTGGTGTAAGCTGAGTCCTCAAGCCTCCTGCTCCTCCTGAGAGGCCACTTCCCCTGCCCTAACCCGTTGCTCCTGGAATGCACAGTGACACAGCTGCTGCCGCCCAGAACATGGGGTCTCTCCTCAGACTGTGCAGAATGTGCTGCGGATCTTGGCACTAACTCCCTTCTTGTGATCCCCATTGCTAACTTTGTACAGGCCCTGTGCCACCACTGCTGCACCTTCACAGCTCCATCTGTGATGGTCAGTGACTTCTAGGACCCCTCTGTACCTGTGTGTCACACAAAGACTGTAATAGTGTTGGGGCGTTGAGCCAGTGTCCTGAGTGTACAAGGCCTTGTGTGGTGTTCTTAGTGGTTGCCAGGATAGTTGCAGGGTAACCCTGCTGGGAGGAGGAGAGCTGGTTATGGACATGACAGGGCAGCGTATAGCATGAGCCAATACCCAGGCCTCACACCCTAGTGTCTCTGTGGGGTCATGGGAAAGGCAGAGCATGTGGTCCTGCTCGCTGGGGGGTACAGACTCATCTCTGAGCTTTCCTCCCGCCTTGCCTTCAGCCTCCTGAGGATGGGAGCCAGGAGCCACTCTTTTAGGCCTCATGGAGGGTTTAGGCACAGGAGGGTTTACCAGTAGTCCAGAACTTGCTAGACGTGAGACTAGGCCTGCAGCTCCTGCTGTTTGATTTCTTCCTCAGCACTTTTCCCCTGGGTACAGCTGTGGGAAGTATCCCACTTCTGGCAGCTCCAGGGGTCCCTTGGGATGGGAGTGGGGCATGCCACAAGAATGCAGGGGACAGGGACAAGTGTGGAGTCATTGCTGGAGTCCTCTTGCAGAGTAATCACCTGTGAGATAACTTGTTCCAAGCAGGGCTGGGACCCGGCATGGACATGCAGGCAGGGAGATGCAGAGGAGAGCTCTGGGCTGGCTGTCACCTGCTCCTTGGCCCTGGGCCTGCCTTGCTCTTCTTCAGAGTAACCTGGAGGACTGTCTACTGAGGCTGTGCACCTGCTGCCTGGCCTTGGGCAAGGGGAGAGCCTCAGTTTCTTCATCTGGAAGATGGGAGACAGAGCAGTTCTCAGGTGACTTCCAGCTTTCTTAGCTGCCTCACCATGCTTCTCAGAGAAGGGCCTTGAATGCCCAGAGTGGTGTCCCCAGGAGAAGTCCTGGCTGACCTGCTATCAGGAGTGTCAGGAGGCAGGGCAGCCCTGCTGGGAGCCAGCTGGAGCCTTCTGGCATCTGCATGCATGGCTTAAACAGGGTGGCAGGACCAAGGGCACCTGTATAACCCTGTACATGCCAAGGAGGTGGAGCTACTCAGCTCTGGAAAGGGCGTTGACTGGTGAGACTTGTAGGCACAAAAAAGGCACTGGGCAGAATTTGTTCAAATGCTCAGGGGTTAGCACCCAGCCTCTCTCCTTGTCTGTGAGGTGTATCCACATCCCAGGATTTTACTCTCTCTCTCTCTCTTTTTAAGATTGATTGATTTATTTGAATGACAGGGAGAGAAAGAAAGGTCTTCCATCCACTGCTTCACTCAGACTGAAGTGAGGTACCTGGATCTTCATTTGGGTCTCCGGTGTGGATGTCAACATGGCCACTCTTGACCTACCTTCTGAGGCATGTTATTGGCAGCTGGATTGGGAGCTGAGCATCTGGAACTCTACTGCTCTGTTGGCGCATGAGGCCCCTTAAGCACTATACGAGAGCACCTACTGCTGTGCCCCAGAGGTTTGGTAAAGTAAGCAAGACAGTGACAGTGCAAGGGACTCTGAGGATCAGGCCTGCTCCCGGGGCCAGAGCACTGCCCTCTTTCAGCACCTCCTGGCTTGGAGGTCCGCTGTGACAGCCTGCCCTGCTCCCCCCGACCCCGGGGAGGCTGAGTTGGCCCCCGCAGTTTAATCACTGTTTTTGCTGGATGCAGTTGTGCTGTCTCAGCACTCGCCTCACCAAATCCATTTTTCATGGCCTGGGCCTAGGAGGGGTTCCTCGTGCCAGGCCTGGAAATGCACATGGGGCCCTCACCACCCAAAGTAAATAGTCTTGCTGGCTTCTCACAGTCACCTCCGCTCTGGGCTGCTGCTGGAAGACCCTGGGTCAATGTGGGGTGCCCCGCCCCAGTCTGCCATGGTGCTCCTTGGCATCCCCCAGGGCTCAAAGAATGGTCCGTTCTTTCCTGGAGGCCCCAGATGGTTCTTGGGACCCTCGTGGCATGTCCTGCCTGCCTGGTCTGGTTCTTCAAGCCAACACATTGCCCTGTGGCCTCCTGTGTCTTGGCAGCTTACAGCTGATTACTTTCATAAGTCATTTTCAAAATGAAGTGGAATATTGGGACCATTCAGCTGTGTTCCATCAAGGGCAAGAAGCCCCAAGCTGAGTTGGTTTCTCTCCCCTGCACAGGGATTGGAGTGGATGTGGGAGTCTCAAGGGCTAGACAAAGGCTGGATCTGTAGTCCCGGGGCCCGCAATTATAGAGGGGGTGGTGCTGGCAGCAGGCTCCTGGGTCCCCTACTTTGCTGCAAGCCTGCGGATCGGGGTGGGAGTGGGAGGCCCTTACAGCCCTGGCCAAGCTGACATAGAGCGGAAAGGGCCACAGGACAATGAGGGCACACATGGCAGAAGTGCTGGCTACCCCTGAAGGGAAACTGGCATGAAGAGAACTTTGTGACAGTGCCGTGACTGTGCCCATGTCTGCAGCAGCACTATGACCAGGGACTTGCAGTCTGAAGCCTCCCCAACCTGCGTCGCCATGGGGAGGGGAAGCCACATAACTCCTTGCACTGATCGGAGCCCTTGCACAGGCATCTTGTAATGGATGCACCATGGCTTCTGATGTAGGAAAGGGAGGGCTTCAGGAGCCTCATTTTTTTTTCACTGAGGAAACTGCTGGCAGCATTAGTGGAAGGCCTGGCCTAAGATCCCAGAGCTAGGATGAAGTTGATTTCATGTTGGTTAAAAAAAAAAAAAAAAGATTTGTTTATCTGGTTTATCTGGTTTTCAAAGGCAGATCTACAGAGAGGAGAGGCAGAAAGATCTTCCATCCACTGGTTCACTCTCCAAATGGCTGCAACGGCCGGAGCTGAGATGGTCCAAAGCCAGAAGGCAGGACTGGGCGGACATGGGAGCTTGGGCACAGTGCTCAGGTCCTGAGCTTCTGTTCCTTATGTGGTGGAAGGGAGTGACAATACTACTTGTGCCTCCCTGCTAACCCCATCTGTTGTGGTTGGTGGTCACCTCCACTGCTGTCTCATGAGCTCCCAGGACCCTCCAGTTGTGGGCGAGTGTTCTGTGGCAGCCCCTGTCTCTCTTGCATGCTGCCCCTATGTCACTTAAGCTAGTGCCTGCTTATCCTGCAGGGGATCTGGCTGGAGGCACCTGCACGGGGATTTCCTTACAGTCCTCAGCAACTTCTAGGATAAGACTGATGGTGGCAGCGGACCCAGGGCCAGCTGCTTCTGGGGTGGGGTCCCCATTACTGTTGGAGCTGAGGAGGGAAGTGCAGGCTGGATGGGTGCTCACTCCTCTTTCTCCTTCCCAGTTTGAGGCAGGCCCCTACGGATGCATCCTGCTCACCCTCTCTGCCATCCTATCCAGGACTACAGAACTGTGAGTGTCTTTACCCTTACCCCGTAGGGGTCCTGGGTGGGTCTGGGTCACTGTCACTACTTCAGACCAGGGTGGTGCTTGGCATCTGGCGAGGGCTCGGTGAGCCAGGTGGAGGAAAGGGAAGTAGCTGGTGATGGCGACAGCCACACACACACACACACCCTCTGTTCAGGCTGCTACCATATGGCCTCCCCACATGTGCATCCCTGCCCAAAGAGCTTGCAGGGACTGCAGTGTGTGCACTCTTAGGCAGGCAGGGGAACCCTTACTACGTGCACAGGCATGGACAACGGAGGCTGAGGCCTCAGAGGTGACTGAGGGTCCCCAAGAACTCACAGCAGGCTGGCCTTGCCATCCCTTAAGTTGGCTGGTCCCGCAGGCATTAGAACAGTGCTGGTGTCCTAGGCCCGCCTCTGAGAAGTTCTGTGAGTAGGTGCCCAGGAGAGTTGGGCCGGCTGCTTGTTTTAAATCTCCCTGCTTGGTCCTTGTTTGACCCTGCTGCTGGGATCCCTGACTCCGTATCTGTGCCGTGTGACCATATGTGGCATCAGACTGTGTCAGAAGTGCCTGTGCGTTATGCCACCACGGAGGGTGGCAGATGAATAGGTACTGCCTACTACTGCCTGCCTGCCTAACAGCATGGAGAAGCACGGAGTGAATCTGCCTTCAGGGGTGGGGAAGATTGGGGAGCAATGTCAGCGGTGGGAAGTGGGAGGAGGGATGGGTAGCCTCATAGCATCCAGGCCTCAGAGGCCCCACAGAAGACCTTGGCTCACCTGTCTAGGCTGCTGCCCCCAAATCCCTTCTGTGGGCCGAGGGAGGGGCCAGGGGCTCCGTGGTCTCGTGTTCCGGCCTGCCTGCTGCGTGCCGCCACTGACCTTATTAAGTGCAATGTGTGCACAGTACTGCCTGGCGGCATATTTCTGCTAATCCTGCCATAATGATATGCTTCATTCCTGATGTGGGCTCATGTGCACGGCAGAGCGAAGCCTCAGGCCTGGCTTTGATAATCCCTGGCTGGATCCATGCAGCAGGGGTCTCCAGCTCTCAGGGAGGGGAGGTTGATGAGGTTGGCCATGTCACCTTGTATGCAGGGCCTTCTTCCTTGAGCCAGGCATGCGTGTTGGAGTGCGTCTGCTTCGGTGGTTTATAAGGCAGCCTGGGAGCAGGCACTGCTTAATACAGCCTCCTCCTCTGAAAGGGGCCACAGGCTGCTTTCCATGATGGGCAGAGTTGCAGGACTGGGGCTGTTCTTTGCCCTCCTGCCACAGCCATCCAAGTAGGCAGGTGTTGATCTTTGCCAAGGTCCTGGCACCCAGGTGGGGCAGGGGAATTCATGTGGAGAAGGCTGCCCTGCTAGACCTGTACAACCTCGTGTTGATGGTCTTACCAACACACACACAGATAGATACCCAGACACACACATGAATCCTCACAGACATATGGATGGATCCACACATAGATCTCCAGACACAGATACGCACAGATATTCACAGACACTCACAGATACCCACAAACACACCACAGATACATACATGGACGCACACACAGGGATTCATGCAGACACACACGATCCACGCAGGCACGCAGCCCTTCTGCTCCCCTGAGACCACTGAGGCCACACTCTGGGTCCTGTAGGCACCCTGTCTTGAACCAGGGACAGCTTGGGTCAGCCGGGGCCTCTGCCTCACTGAGGAGCTGGCTAGAGATCTTCTGTGATAAGGGTCCTGGCACGGAAGGCCTGTTCCGATAAGCAGTGGGGAGCAGAGCCCAGCCGGCCGGCAGAAGAACGCTGGTGGCCTCTGTGAAGCCCTGCCCACCCACACCTGTCTGCAAGTGTTTGACTCTGCAGCTCTTGGACTTGCCTATAGCCCTGTTAGGTGGACACTGTTGGGACCCCCTTCACACAGTGAGTAGAGCGGGTGGCCCCAGGCTGGCTCTTGGATTTGCTGGTTTCAGGCCTGCATCTGTCCACCACCCCCAGCTAGGAGTTCTTCCTCTGTAGATAGGGCTGTCCCTTCCTGTACCCCAAGACCTAGCTGTGCCTAGCTTGGATCCAGGTGCTGATGAGCCTTCTCGGTGGCAGCTACCCAGACACCTCTACATCCTCTCTGCCTTTGCTGACCCTTGGTCTGGGGCTGGTGCCCCATAGCGTAGGCCTCCCAGTCACTGGGATGTCCTGGGGTTCCCAATGGTCCAACAGCAGCAGGGCCCTCTCCTGGCAGGCAGAGGGAGCAGCAGGATGCTCCTTGTGTGCTTAGGATGGGCGACTAAGACGTGAGTTTGAGGTGACCCAGTTTCTGCTGCCTCAGACCTACTCTGTTTATAGGCTTGGGTGTGGGCAGGATTTGGGGGAGTTGTCCCAGGATGGCTGCTTGACCACTGCTTGCTCCCGTGGAAAAACCCCTGACCTCAGCTCACCTCTATCCCCAAGTCTGGGAGCTCCCTGAGGAAAAAGGACAGGAGCAGCTGAGATAACTAGGGCCCAGCACCCCTGCACCTGCAGAGGTGCCTGTGTAGATCCCTTGTTTTGTCTTCTGAAAGAAGCTCCCGCATGGGTCCATTTCTGCTCACAGGGCAGAAATGTGGTCACCTTGCACCACAGTGGTATCTGTCCTAGGACCTGCACGCCCACCTCTCCTGGGGGGCTAGCCTCTGGCAGAGGCCGCTCTGTGAGATCCTAGCAAGGGAGGCACGACAGGGTGACTGATGGCATGAAAGTGGGTGCCCATGCTATGCGGTGCAGCTTCAGGACACCTGAGTGCCTGTTTTGCCCAGCTGCCCAGGGCCCTGTGGCCAGTCCTACCCATGCTTTCCAGCCTTTAGCCCTCCCTGACAGGGGATGGTTAAGCCCATGTTTTTAAAATTCTTTTGTAGTGAAATGAAATTTGACCTTCTTCCCCTAAAGCAACCCCATTGCACAGCCCCGCTGTGTGAAGCAGAGGCAGGCATGGAAGTGAGGAGAGGATGATCCTGCTCCCCATCCCTGCCCTGGCCTCAGCCCCGGCCCTGGCCCTAGCCCCAGTGAGCCCTTGGCTGAAGCCCCAGCTCTGCAAATACAGCTCAGCAACTTGGGGACCAGATGACCGCCCAGGGCCTTCCAAGTAGGAAGCCCAGACTCAGCTTTGTCCCAGACTCCTTTGATCTAATTTCAGGATAATCTGTTACTCCTCTGGTCTGCTGGGAATGAAGCCTGGTAACCCAAGCATATAGGACAGCCTCTGGTCAAGTAGATCAAGTGCTGTTTGACTGGCAGCCTTCCAGGTTTTCCAGGCACAGCTGTGTGGGTGCCCATGTGTGGTGATGTGATGGGTGGCAAGATGGGTGCCTTGTGGAGGCTGGGGGCTGGATTTATGTGCAGTAGAACGTGTGTGTGTGACAGTGAGTGACAAGAGATGGTGGGCCCGCCCTCATGCCAAGAGCTCTCAGATTCACTCCTGGGCCCTGCAAGGCTCTCTCCTGGTGCCCAGGGGCTGCCCTTGCAGTGCAGTCACCACTTTCTTTCCCTCAGTTAGGATGCTCCTAACTCAGCACGGAGTCAGGGAGGCACGCCGTAGGCAGAAACGAGCCCAGCTGAGTGCAATCTGGTTGCTGCTGGCTGCTTCAGCCTCAGAGGCCTCAAGAACAGTCTAGAAACAGGTCTTTGAGATTGTTTACCCCAGGCTGTGTGCAGGCTCTTACTTTTTTCCACTCAATTTCAAACTGTTTATTTTCTTAAGAGCTCGGAGCTGTTGCTGGTAAATCTCATGCAAGATTTCATGCTCTCCTAACACTGCTACTTTCCTAGCCACTTAGCCTGCACTTTATCCTCACCAGGATTGGCTCCAGGGGAGCATGGGCTTGTAGCAGGCAGGTGCTGACCTGGTGGCTGGATCCTGGGTACCGGTTAGGGAGACAACTCGTTGAAGAAAACCCTTTCATGGCTGTAGGGCACAGGGCACTGCCAGTCTGCAAGAGGCAAGGCCTTAGCATCACCTGGCATCCCCTTAGAACAATATGAGCCAGGTTCAGAGCATCCACGCTGCAGTAACTCTTTCCTTCCCTCTAGGAGATCACAGATGAGAGCAACAATGGCTTTTGTTTCGAGAAAACAGCTCAGAAGGCACATGAGTGCTGGCTGGATAGCCATGTGACAGAAGGTCAGCATAGGCAGATAACAGGCTACCAATTGACTTGTAGCAAAAGCATAGGCTTCAGGAGTGGCTGGATCCAGGAACAAGGCACTGTCTTCAGGACTCTGTGTCTGTTCCTCCTGTCCGTCTCTTCGTTTATCTCTGTTTTGTCGCTGTGTTCTCAGGATGGCCCTTGTGTGTGTGTCAGGCACCTGTTCCTGGTGCTCTGACATGGCCAGGTGTAGGCTGCACCCATCACAGCATGTGTGAGCACTGGGGTATCCCTAGAAAGCAGTCACAAACCATAGAGACCAGGCCCTGGCTGGTTAAGCAAGGCATGAACCAGCATTCGGAAGTACATGTACGGCAGGTGTGGAAGAGGAGGGAAGCAGAGGTGGTTTTGAGGGTGGGCTTGGGGGTGCCTCTCTGAGACGGAAATGGGTAATTACCAAGTTCTGTGTGCAGGCAGCTGGCCCGGTGAGCTTTGTAGGATGGGGCTGTAGCTGAAAGCTGTCCTCATTGACAGTAGTTTGGGCCTTGAGTGGTTCCCGGTACATCATTCTGAACAGAATGGGTCACGTGAGCCGCACATTGACTTCCCCACAACTGTGCTTCAACACTCAGAATAATGAGGCATAAACAGCCTCACAGACCCTAAGCCCTGATTCCTGGCCTTCCCTCTCCACCCAGACGGGGGTCGCCACAGCAGTCCAGTCTTGAATGTCCCCTAGGGAGGCTCAAGCTGCAGAGGGTCGGGGTGTGAGAGGAAGATGGTTCACTTTCTAGAAGTCTTCTGTGTTAGGCTGGTTTCAGCCACGTGGGTGGGCTGCTCATATCCTCTTACCTTGTCATGCCCACTACCACCCAGCTTCCTGAAATCATGGTACCTGGGCCTTGCTGGCCTGGACCAGATCTGATGATGTAGTGGCCCATTGGCTGTGCACCTGTGAGCTTGGTTCTGGGCAAGGGTGGGTGGCAGAGGTCAGGTGGGAGCAGGACAGGTATAGGAAGAGCAGTTGGCAGGTGCCCTTTGGAAGGGGAGAAGTGGGGAAAGGACCATGGTGGCAGCAAGTACAGATGGGACAGAGGCCCCTGGTGCTGATGGACGGAAGCAGCTGCCCAAGGTCTTGACCAAAGAGAAGGTGCTGGGGTCGGGGGAGGCAGAGGGCAGCCAGGCGTCCCCTGTCTCCTGGGCCTCCATCCCAGCCCCTTTCTCCCTGCTGTGCAGCACCTTGCAGTTTGCCAATGCTTTTTGTGGTGCAGTCTCACTGCAACAACCAAAGTGATAATGGGAGGCTCAGGGTTGGAAAGTGACCTGACAAAGGTTGCAGTTACCAACGCAGAGGGAGGGCAGAGCCTGACATCTGCCTGTGATTTCTCATCTACTTATCCCCCTGGTGCCAGCCTAAGAAGCTGTCCATATCTGCTCTGTGCAAAGTACTTTCAGATACAGCCCGGCTCCCACCACCCGGAGGCCTCCCTTTATTCTGGGTTCTTGGCCATGACACCAAATGGTCTGGTTGAGCTTGCAGGAATTATGACCTTGCAGCCATTGTCTTCTTGTTTTTTTATTGTTGTTATCGTAGGAAAGAGGAAGTGGATCAAGTGCCACGTGCTTTATATAGCTCTCTTATCCGTTCAGTTCTCACAGCTGTGTATAGTGGAAGGAGGCCTCACGGCACCCAAACAACAGTTGGGGAAACTGAGACCAACTGGGCAGGAGGACTACCAGAACCACAGTTGCCCTCTTTCACTACTAGTGCTGCTCGGAAAACTCAGCAGAAGTCCCACCTCTGCAGGTGACTGAGAAATGTGGTTGAAGGGGACAGCTCCTGAGAGGGCCTGACGGGGGCCAGCCCAGGGGAGTGTGACTCCTCTAGATCCCAGGACCCTAGTGAGTAGGTGAAGATTGCCACCAGCGCTGGGTTTGATGTTTTAATATCCAGGTCATGGATGGGATGCACTCAATCACATCCCAGGAAGAGCCAGCCAGGAGAGCTCTGTGCTTGTCTTCTCATTTCCCAGACAAGGAGATGGTTTTGGGCTAATGGCTGTTACCACAGACTGAGTCTGTGTCTCTAGACCGTATGAACACACTGTCCCTCTCATTTAGAATCATCTGTGCCGAATGCCGGGTTCATATGCAGTGGCTTGTAGCTGAAGGGTGCTAGATCCAGGGCCTAGGGACCTGAGTGGCCATCGGGGGATCCAGATCCTACTTGGAGCTGGCTGGCCAGGCTGACCAACCCATAGCTGAGGCCACCATGGTTATTGAGGGTACCATGTGTTATTGGTGCTGGCCACCCAACATGGGCTGATGGTAACCACAAAACCACAAGTGTCTGCTCCTGGGGCTTCTATTTCCCCATGAGTGAAAATGGAGATGGTGATCCTGTCCTCAAGGCCTCAGACAGAAAGACAGGATGCATCTGGAACGTCTGAGGCTGTGTGGATTCTAGACTGGGTGCCATCAGCTGCTCTGTGGGCACAGCCTTTGCCCACCCTGCCACGTGCAGTGGGTGCAGGTGTAGAGGGATACAGCCCTGGGCCCTGAGACTGGGCCTCCTCCCATGGCCTCTCTCCAGGCCTGGAAGTGGACTCCTTCTTGGTGTGCTAGTGCACACTCCTGCTGTGCCTGTGGGGTGAGTGCTTATCCTCCTGTTTTTACTTCAATAGCCCCAAAGGCTCTGGATACGGCAGCATCTTGGGAAATTCTGGGGATTAGGACTTCAACACAGAATTTTTTGGGTGTGGGCTGGGGTGGTGGTTACACAATCTAGCCCTTTATCTTTTTCATCTTGTCCAAAGCCCAGGCGGAATAACCGAGGAAATAGAGGCCCTGGGAGGTGGGGTTCTGTGGTTTCAAGGCAGGCAGGGACCAGGGCTGGGGTCTTCACCAGCTGGTGCATGTGTTCCTCCTCTGGGCAGCTGCTAGGCCTGCCCAGCCCTCCAGGGACTTTCCCCCAGCAGAAGGCGTGGACTTCAAAATTTGCCCAAGCTGTAAATCTCCTGGGCTATATATGCCACTCCTCGGCGTCTCCCCAACACGCTGATGTGAAATACACATGTCTCTCCCTTTTAAGATGCGAGCACATGGCCGAATTTCCCATCATGTTTGCACCTAAGGATGCAATTACCGCTTCCCGCCATTGTCCTCTCTGCTTGTCCCAGCGCTCCCGGCTGACGCAGGCTCCCAGGCCTGTGGGGTGAGCACGCGGCTGGGAGCTGATGCCCAGTTGGGGTGGCGGGGCAGGCCAGGGGAGTGGGGGAGGACAGCTTGACAGTGCTGTGGGTGGCATGGGGCCAGCGATGCTTATCGCACCTCCCAGGACTCCTTTGAGGTTATTTTCTTCTCGTCAGAAGAGGCCTGCATTTGCCATGGACAACGTTTCCATCAATTCTCCTGCCTGAGCCAGCGCCAGCCGAGCATGGCTGCATTCCCCCATGAGTCACTACTGCTGGCTCCTGCCCAGGCCCGCCAGGCTGTCTGTGGTGGCCGAGCCTCGAGGGTCCTTCTGTCAGGGGTCCCTTGCCCCCAAACCCCTCATCACTGCTGCTCTGTGGCTCCTGCCCTGGGAGTAAACCCTGGCTCTAATTGTGGACCATAACTACCCCACTCCCCCATCATTAAAAACCACAAGAAAGCCTTTTGCCTGCAATTGATGTGGCACTCAAGTTTCTGAGCTCATGTGGGGAAGGATACAGGGGCCGGGCGATGTGTCTTGCCTTTCAAGCATGAATTGAGAGCTAGTCCCGCTTTTGATCCACAAAGAAGGAGAAACTACGGGCGTGATCACTGAACTTTCCTGTCCCCTGCTCGCTGCCCACGGCCCCCTCTGGGTTGTGGGGGTGGTATTGGACCGGGCCCTGAGGGCAGAGCCAGGGTTGGAGACTGGGGTCACCGTGTGTCTCCTGTGAAGAAGCTGCGCTGGGGAGCCAGTCACCCCGGCCTCACTTTGCCCTCAGCACTTGTGCAGGGGCTTCCTCCCACAGCTGTAAGGAAGAAGGGTGACCACTTTCTTGCTAGGAAGTGAGATGGACCCTGCCTTGCCCAGGGCCATGTCCCCATCCGCTGGTGCCTTTATTGGTTCCTGGATACTTGGTTTGGTCTCACCCTCCTGCTGCCTTCTTTTATGAGAGTCGGGGCCTGGTGGTGGCCATTCTAGAATGGCAGACAGAGGGAAGGAGAGCTTCAAGGCTCAGGGATAATTTTTGCCTCGTGCTTCTCCTGATATCACCCTTTATAGGGGACAATGCCCCTGTGTCCCGTGTCCAGCACTGCCCAGCCCCCCAAGATCTTCTTTCTCCCATTTGAGAAAAAGTGGGCTTCTCCCCTCATACCTCTTAGGGACCCCATCCTCAAGGTGGAGAGGATGTGGGCCACAGTGCCCAAGGTGCCAGTTGGTCCTTTGTCTGCACCTGTTTTTTTCTCACCGGACTGTGGAGAATGATGGGTGTTCAGTGCCATGTGCAAGAAATCTGCTCAGGTGATAGTGGCTATTGTCTGAAGGACCCAGGGAGGAATTAGAATCCACTGCCTCCATTTAGCAGACTGGCAAACTGAGGTCCAGAGACAGAGGAGGCTGCCCCAGTGTCTGCTGTTAGCATTGACCTCTGGAGTGTGAACTTAGGATGTTGGAGTTCCAACTCAGGAGCACCCCCCAACTTTCTAAATATTTGAAAAGCAGGGTTGCAGAAAGGGGGCAGGGGAGAGAGTCATCTTGCTCTCTAAATGGCTACAACTGGGCCATTCCAAAGCCAAAAGCCAGTAGCGTCTTCTAGGTCTCCCACATCAGTGCAGGGGCCTAAGTGCCTCTACTGTTTTCCCAGGCACATTAGCAGGGAGCTAGATGAGAAGTACAGCAGCTGGGATTTGAACCTGTGCCCATATGGGATGTATATGTTTTTACCTGTGTGCCACAGCGCCAGGCCCTCTTGTACCCAGCTTTGGGTGCCTTCTCCTGTGTGAGGCCAGAGGGGAGGTGGCCATGACCAGGAGTCTATGAGCTTAACTCTGGGGAGCCTGGATGAGAGTCTCCTCCAAGGAAGGCATGGAGCATAGAGATGCTCAGGCTCCCACTGAACCTGGACCCGCCTGGATCCTGAGCAAGGGGAGCGCCTGGGTGGCCTGCGGTGGGCAGAGCTGTGCTGACACTGATTCTTGTGTTTTTCAGCGTCCGCCAGGACTTTGATGTCCCCACCAGCCACCTGATTGGCGCTCATGGATATTGCACGCAGGTCAGTACCAGGGTAGGGGGTAGGTGGCTATAGGGAGAAGCTTCTGATTGTCCTTCCTCTGGGCACCTGTGTGCCCCAGGGGCATTTCTGCTTGTGGAGGGCAGAGACCAGTGCTGCCAGGGGTGGGTAATCAGGCTGGGCACTAGGGTTGGGGGCGGGCTCCAGGCCCTGTACCTAGTGGCATACACAGAATGCAGTATGGCTGGTTCTTTCTCTAAGGCTTCAGTTTTTTCATCTGTGGTTGAGACCTTTGGATGAGGCCAGGCTGCTTGAACCCTGACATGCAGGTGCACCACCCGCTGGGGGTGTTGGTGATGAACAGGCTTGTGGGCTGGGTCTGAGATTCTGAATCTCGGCATACAGGAGGGCCATGTGTTGGGGACCACACTCTGAGTAGTAAAGGGTTCAATGACGGCTAAGCTTTGCTGCCCTGTGGTTTGGAGTCTGGGGGCAGGGAGAGGCCTGGTGTCCTTTCTGCCCTTTCGCAGGAAGGCTTACCTGCTGTGAGGAATGTTCTGGACACAGCCCAGATTGAAAAGCAGGGGCCCTTCCCCATGGAGAACCACAGTGGAAGAGCCCAGCCACCTGTGAGGCTTTCTGAGCAGCCGTGCCCCACCCCCCAGGAGCTCACGTTTCCTCCCAGTGATTGTCTCATTTCCTCTGCTGGGTCTCAGCCACACTTGGCTGCCTTCCACAGTGGGGGTCCCTCTGTGACCTGACCCTTTGCAGAGAGGCCCCTTCACTGCCACTGGGGCAGGGGTGTTGGTGTTGATGGAGGCATTTGTTAGCTCCATATGTCGTTCCCATAATCCAGGGAAAAAGTCTGGACATGAACTTTGCCCTCCCCAAGACAGGGCCGGGACGGGGCCTCGACATCCCCCATCCTTGCATGCATATGAGGAGGGAGAGGTGTCTACCTGCTCTGCAGTGATGGATGGCCCAGGGTCCTGGGGCGGGGCTGATGCAGAGCCTCTCTTAGGAGGTCGTTTGGACCCTCAGAGGACATCCGCCCACCCGCCTATGACCTGAAGCTCTGTCCAGGCAAGTGTTACTTCCACAAGGGGGCGGCGGGAGAAGTAGACAGGGCCAGATGTGGGTGGAGATTCGTAAGTGAGTTCAGGGCAGAGCTGTTCTAGCTGCAAGCCTCAGTTTCTACTTTCCCAGCCAGGCTCGGGCCCTGGGGTCTCCCAGCTGTTTCCATGAAGGAGGTACATGCAGTGGCATGTGTGGGGTCTGGGTCATGTGCCTGTGGCTCACAGGGTGTGCTGTGTGAGCTACGTGGCAGGGTGTGCAAGAAGCATGTAGGGGCTGAGCTAGAACTGGGACCTCCTGCCTTCACCTCTGTCCCTGGAGTACTCTGCTGTGCTGCCCTTGTCCCATCACTGCTCTCAGCCACCAGGGCAATGTGGGGGAGGCCCGAGTTTGGCGCGCCATGACCCGTTTCCTGGTGCCGAAGATGGGTTCCATCACACAGATGTTATCGCTATGGGAGTCAGGTGAAGGGTGCACAGGAACTCGGGCACCAGGTTTACGACTTCCATGGGTCTCCAGTTGTTTCAAAGTGCAAGTGGCTGCTAAAATACCCCCGGCCTCCAGGACCTGCCCTATGATACTGCTCCACAAAACAGTCTGCACCTACGCTTTGCACATGTTTCTGCACTCATCGCCACATCCTGCCTTGCACTCCAGCTGTGTGGGGGCATCCCTACCCCCTAGACCACCTAGAGCATAGGACAGAGCCCTGCATGCAAGTGGTACCCCGTGGGGTAAACACAGCTGACTTCCTGGAGTGCTGTGATGAGAAAATGTGACCACCTTCCCTTGGGGCTGTGGGGAAACCGAGTCAGGACTTTTGCTTGTTGTCTCCCTGCCTCCTCACGTTCTTTCCTTGTTCATGCTGGTAGTGGCTGCCTCAGGGGCTTGACGCACCTTCCTCCTTGTCTCTGACAGGAACTTGTCAATCTGCTACTGACTGGGAAGGCCGTGTCCAACGTCTTCAATGATGTGGTGGAGCTGGACTCAGGACAAGGGAATGTCACACTGCTCCGTGGCATTGCCGAGCGCAGTGACATCGGCTTCCTGTCCCTCTTTGAGCACTACAGTGTATGCCAGGTACCATGGTGCCAAGGGGCCGGGCAATAACAGGGCAGTGGGGAAAGGGTAGCCACTCTCCAGTTCTTGGAGCCACATGGAATGTGGCCTCTGTCTGGATCACAGAAGGTGTGGGAGCAAGTGCAGCTTCCCTGCTAGTTAGGGTTAGAGTTAGGGTTAGGGTTGCATTCCACAGGCTATTCAGGCCCGGGGCCCATGGTGCCATGCTCTGACTATGGCTGTTTAAGAGGACTCCACAGGGGCTCATGGCATGGCTGGGTCCCAGTGGCTGAGCTGTGTGTGTGTGCACATGTGTAAGTGTGTGCATGTGGGATGATGATTTCAGGAGCAAGAGCCTAAGATCTTGGGCCCAAGGCTGCTGCAGGTAAGTAGCACAATACCAGATACTGTGACCAGGGGCTGAAGTGATAGAATGTACCATCTCGGGGTTCTGGAGACCAAGGTCAAGGTGTCTGCACAGCCATGCTGCCTCTGAAGCCACAGGGAGACTCCTCCCTCATCTCTGCCACCCTTCATGATGTCCTTACCACCCCTGGGGCTCCAGATGCGACACTCTGATCTCTGCTTTTTGCATTGCTCCTCTGTCTTCTCCCTGGGTGTCTTCTTTTGTAAAATAATAATAGTATTAATAATCTATTTACTGAAAAGGTGGAGAGACAGGGCGAAAGGTCTTCCACCTCTGGTTCATCTCCTAAGTGCCCACAGTTGGTGATTCTGGGCCAGCCTGAAACCAGAAGCCTGGTCTGCTGTGTGAGTGGCAAGGATTTGGTTTCTCGGGTCTTGCTCTGCTCTCTCCCAGCATGTTCATTAGCAGGAAGGGATTTGGTAGGGGAGCTGGGACTGAAATGCAGGGACTCTCCTATGCGGAGCCCAGGCATCCCAGGTGGGGTTTTAACCACTGTGTCCCATGCCAGCTCCGTCTTCTTTCCTTACAAGGCCCTTAGTCACATCAGGATGGGCCCATGCTACCCCAGTGTAAGCACAATACAGCTAATGATCCCACAGCAACCTGCATTCTGTCAGGCCACGCTGGGAGGCTCTGGATTCAGACTGCCACAGATCTTTTTGGAGGAATATAGTTCTCAATTGGTCTGTTGGCTAGGGCGTGGTCCCTCTGCCTGTGTCACCACAGCAGGGTCTAGGGTCTGAAAAAGGACTGGGTCTCCAAGTAGCACTGAACGGTCTGAGCAGCTGACCATCAAGGGGCTGGGCATGGGTTGAGGTGGCTAGACAGGGGGCACTAGCCCTGCCTTCTGGTCCCAGCTGCCCCAGAACCTTCTTTAATCCTTGCCTTCTGTGTCCTTAGCATCCACCTTCTGTGTCTGATTACACAGCATAGGATGTCTTGAGGGGTGGCAGTGACTGTCCATATGCAGCCTGTTCCTGCCAAGATTCTTGGGTTGCCTGAGTGAGGCTCATTCACTGTGCATTTCAGACCCACTCCACACTAACTCAGCCAGTGACTGGCAAAGAAGTGACAGAGCAGAAGCAGGTGGCGAGGTTTTAAGCTCTTCCTATGGTACCATTGTATGGGTAATATGGTCCTTTGCCCTTGGGCCATGTGGTGCAGCCTCACCCCTGGCACCTGTCTAGGTGTAGCCACAAAACACAGAAAGCAGACCTGGAGGTTGCAGATTCAGGTGGCAAAACAAGAGTGTCTCTGTCCCAGCTGTGCTGTGCTAGGGAGTGTGCCAGGAGTGCTGCCACTTGGCCGGTGGGAAGCACCAGGACTGGCGAGCATCATAGCCTGAGTGGACTCTGAGAGACTCCAGCCTGCAAGTCTATGACCGAGAGCTGGTGCCCTCCACCAGGCTCACCAGGAGTCCTGCTCTCCTTCCTGTACCCTGGGTGCAGCTCATGGCCATGCTGACCTCCTATAGCCCATGGAGGGTGCTGGATGGGAGATTCAGTCCCAGATCATTTTCATCTAGGAGTGAGACTGCTGAGGGCATCTGGGCAGGCCCCATGGTCATCTGCTGCTTCTCATGGCTTCCTGGGTCCACCCAGGGCTCCTCGCCATGTTATGTTTGGCTGAGGACTAGGAGTCAGGTCCCCTGCTGCACGAGAGGTGCTCTCCCTGCCATTTAGCTCTAGCCCACCCTGCCAGAGCCCCCTCCTCACCTCCCTGGGACTGACTCCCTGAGGCCTTGTTACAGGCTTGGCAGAGCCTGCTGATCCAGACCCTCTGGAATACTGCTGGCTCCTCCCTCTTAACCCCTGGTCCTTCATGTCCTGACAAGCCTCATTGCATTTAAAAGCTTAGGTTCATTGCCTGAGCCCACAAGCTCCTAATTGCTCTGTTGGGACCTGGCCCGTGCCATATAATAGTAGCACTGGCCTTTGGGACAGCCTGGATCATGGCACCCATAACAGGATCCAGAGGAAACTCTGTACCAGAGAGCTGTGCCCCTGCCCCAATAGTAGAGTGTCCTGGGGGTGGTCACAGGCTAGCCATGACCCCCCACCAGGTTCAGGGGTGGCTGCTCCTACCCTTGTAATGTCCCCTCACCCCCTCCACTGCTGAGCTGGCCCGGGCAAGGCTCACCAGTGCAAGCCATGCTGTGTAGTGACGGGGGCCGACATGCGTGTAGGTGCAGAGGGAGTCTAGCCTCAGTGCTCCTGGCCTGACCCCTAGGTGCAGTGTTCCTTGTCTTTGTGGAGTAACTTCAGGAGCACCAAGCCTGGCAGGGAATATTCTGGAAACCACAGCCTCTTCCTTGTCCCCCCAGCAGACCACACTACTGCCCAGGTGCTGCAGCCAGGAGTACATCCATCACAGCAGGGGGCTGCATACTCCTACCCCAGGTTGCTTCTCACTTTGACCCTGGACTAAGCCACTAGACTCATGGGTCTGGACATCTGTGCATCCCAGCTGACCTCAACCCTTGTCCCCTTCCCCTTCCAATCTTGTCCCTTCCCTGAAGCCTGCAGGATCTTTAGGTATTTTTTTCCTAAGGTTTATTTACTTATTATTTATTTGAAAGGCAGAGTAACAAAAAGAGAAGGACACACACACACAGAGTTTTGTATCTATTGGTTCATCCTCAAATTCCCAGAACAGCCAGGACTAGGCCTGGCCAAAACCAAGAACTAGGAATACCGATCAGGTCTTCTAAAAGGCTGGCAGGGACCCAAATACTTGGGGCCACCTTCTGCTGCCCCCCCCCCCAAGTGCATCATTAGCAGGGAGCTGGCTGGGAAGCAGAGGCAGGACTGAGGCTCAAACATGCTCTGTATGGGATGTGGCTGTCCCAAGTGGTAACTTTCTTTTTCTGACGAATTCTCAAATCCTGTAGTGCAGTGCACCTGTGTTTGTGTGGTCGCGTAGTGTCTCTGTCGTCCGCATTAATCCTGTGAGGCCCAGACCGTTGGGAGAGCTCTTGTGGTCAGGATTGTGAGCACAATGCCAGGGATGGAAGTGAGAACTGCTCTGAAGCAGACCGCAGACACTTGTTGCCTGCCATCAAATATCGATCCTTTCAAATCACCTCTTCTAACCTGGTGGCCCACAATGGCCTTGGGTCATTCCCAAGCTCCCCAGGAGATTAAGAACCACCACTTACAAGTAACGGAGTAGCTGAGTGACTGGTGCAGTCACAAGAAGGCCTGAGACTGTGCCTGCCCCCTCCTCCACTCCAAGCCTCTGGTTACCCAAGACTCCAAAGGCTGCCAAGTGCCACCTGCTTGGAAGGGGGCTCCGGAACATCTTAGGACCTCTTGGGGTTGGTCCCCACCCAACAACCTCCCCGCTTGGAAACCTGGCAGCTGTGTTCTGCCTTTAATTCCTTACAGCCAGCTGTCCTGTGTCCCTGCTGCTGGAAAAAAAAAAAAAACAAAACTCAAGTGATGCTTCTGCTTGGGCGCTCCTTCTCCCGCTGTGAATGAGCACTGGGGCCGCCTTCCAGGCTTGCTGTCGTAGGCTACGCCCTCAGCTGCAGGAAAGCCGCTTTCCAGTAAAGGAGGGAAGCCAAGTGTGCAATGGGGCTTGGCATGTCTGGCCACGTTCCTCAAGGTATCCAATTCCCGTCTCCCTGCTGCGGGGGCCAGCTCCTTGTGCCGCTGTCTGCAGGGCCAGGCCGGGGGCTGGGGCCAGGGCACCTGGATCTTGAGAAAGGGATGAGCACATTGCAGATGCTGTGCCCTGGCCTGGAGGAAGTGACTGTCAGGGGAGATTCCCACCTGGGGACCTGGTTCAAGGTGTTTTGAACACAGCCTCAACACTCCCAAAACCCCCAGTCAGCCCAGAGGGAGCTTGGACCCAAGCAGAAGCTGCCGGGCCACCCTGCTATGATGGGCCCCAGAAGAAAGTCTGCCCTTCTCTGCACTGGAAAAAATAATTCCCATTCTTTCCTTAATCCGCAGGCTGTAGCTGCAAATACCTGAGCATGCAAACATCTCCCCGGGGCCCTGGGGATTAGGGCAGAGGCAGCCTGGCCTCGGCACGTACAGAGTTGAGTAAACCCAGGCCAGGGCTGAGAGGGGCTGGGGTAGGGGGCTGACATTCTGCCCCACATGTGTGAATGGTCAAGGGAAACAGCAGCCAGTGGCCCCAGGCCACTCCTGTCCCTGTGGTACAGTGCTGGGCACTGGCTGAGGGCTCTGATACATATTCCATGGGACCTGCTTTTCCCCCATTAAGTCACCTGCTAGGGACTTTGCAGAAGAAACTGTCCCCCAGTCTGGTGTGGATCTGCCCACATCCTCTGCTGCTCCCCTTCCTGCATGCCTATGGTGCCCTTGGCTGCTCTGCTCAGTCACCTTCCACTCTCAAACTCTTGGCTCCCCGTTCGATGGTCCTATAATGCAGAGTCAGCCAACCTGGCCCGGGGTAGGAACAGGGGAGGGGGACTGGCTGGCCCAAACTGTGGGATGCAGAGTGAGCAGCACTGGGAGCCATTGCAGATAGAGGGCTTAATGGGGGCAAAACCAGTCACAAGAAGGCCTGAGACTGTGCCTGCCCCCTCCTCCACTGTGTGTGTGTGTGTGTGTGTGTGTGTGTGTGTGTGTGTGACATCAGTCCTGTGGGTGACAGCAGACCTAGGGTACAGGCAGGGAGTGCCCTGGGCAGAGCTCTGGACTAAGTGGCAACATGAACAGATGTCATCTTAGGACCTCTTGGGGTTGGTCCCATCCTGGAGTTGGTGTGTCACACAACAGGCTTCTTTCTCCCCATATCCCATGCAGGTGGGCTGCTTCCTAAAGACCCCTCGCTTCCCTATCTGGGTGGTGTGCAGTGAGAGCCACTTCAGTGTCCTGTTCAGCCTGCAGCCCCAGCTCCTGTGTGACTGGAAGGCGGAGCGGCTCTTCGACCTGTACTACTACGATGGCCTGGCCAACCAGCAGGAGCAGATCCGGCTGACCGTAGGTGTGACTCTCAGCCCCTCCCGGGTGCCCTTAGGGAGCTCGCCCACTCAGGGGCCGGCTTGGGTGTTGGAGTAGATGTGAGAGTACCTGCAGGGGGTGGGGGCCAATGGTGCTCAGGGCTACAGCATAAACAGTGGGTGAAGAGTCCCGGATGTGATGCTGACAAATTTGCTTCTGTTTTTCAGGCAGTGGGGGGCCCTGGGAGGCCTGGGGTCAGGGGAGAGGTGAAATCAGAAGTGGGGTGGTGACTGAGCTGTGTGATGAGGCAGCTGCAGCTGAGATGGGGGACCCGAGAGCTCCTATTACCTCAGGGTGATTTCAATGTGCCCTTTTGTCTCTCTCCCTCCTCCCCAGATACCACCCAGATTTGTGCTGAAGACAAAGATAAAGATCTTGTCCCACCATTGGAGCTGTGCATCAGAACCAAGTGAGTTAGGCCCAGCTCTGGCCTCCAAATGGGGGCAGAGAGGGAGCAGGTATGGTTGGGGTGGCAGGGCCTGCAGGAAGGAGGCTGGGGTCCCTGGGTGGCAGGAACTTGGAGGGAATGCCCAAGGCTCAGTCCCCTTAGGGACTCTCTGGCTGGGACCACTCATGTGTTGGGAGAGCCAGGGAGCCTTCCTAAGCCTTTGGCCTTGGCTGGCCAGCATTGGTGCAGAGGGAGAAGCAGCTGGGGGCAGAGGCAGGATCCTGGGGTCGTGGGACTGGGAAGAAAGCACCATGCTTGTCCTAAGCTCAGCCCTTGACACTTCACTACAGTCTCACCAGTCACTACTCCATTGACCTTGGGTGTGGTAGAAGCATCTCCATTCCTCTGCTTGGGAAATGGCAGGGGTCAGGGGTCAAGGCTGGGGCACGCAGACAGGGGTCCAGGCACCACAGTTGGTCCAGGTAGTGCCTGGAGCCTGGGATTGCTGCCCACCCACAGGCAAGAGGGAGGTTGAAGGGGATTGGAGAAGTAGATAAGAAATGGGGAAAGTGCTGGAGGAGGAGGTGTTGCAAGCCCACCGGGAACACCAGGAAAGGAACTGGGAGGGTGTGCTGGGATATCCGTTCTGTGCCTTGTCCATCGTCCACCGTCCGTCTGCTGGCGCCCCTGGGCCGGGGATGCAGATTCCTGTGGGGCTCTGGGCCGGTGCATCTTTCATCAGGAGGATTAAGGGCACATGCAGGTCGCTCTCCTTTCATGTCCAAAGCCACTCATTCAAAGTGATGAGAGAAGGGCCATGATAGGAAAGGAGGTGACGCTGGCCTTGGCCCCGTTTGCAGAGAGGCGTGGGAGGCTGTAGGCTTCCTTCCTGCAGGTGGGCACCCTGGACCCAACCTCCACCACCCCTGGACTCATAGGACCCTTGCTCTGAATGCTTCATTTGGCTCTGTCTCTGGACCCCTTCCAGGAGCAGCCCACCATTCCCTGTCTCTTCTTGGGAAATTGGCACTCCATTTGTTCCAGAATCGCCCCAGCTATCTGGGACTTTAGAACATATCCAGTGGAAAGCCCACCCCTTGGGAACCATTTGCTCCAAAGTAGAGGTCTTCAAGCTGGTGTTTCTCGGGGTTCCCAGGTACTGCTGCTGGTCATGGGACCCCAGTTGAGCACCACTGTTCTGGTGACCCCCACCCCCTCTACTGCCTTGTGAGAGTCAGATACGAGGTGAGATGCAGACTGCCAGGTATCTTGCACACCTGACATGGCTACCTGCCTGTCCTTCCCCACTGTTCCCTGCCACAGTAGGCCTACAGGGATAGTCTACATGGCGACATTGCACTGTTCCAAGAAGCCAAGGGGTGAATGCTGAGTAGGGAGGCAGGGCCCTGCTCATCCGCAGCCATCAGATAACCCTGTAATGGGAACAGCAGGTCCAGCTTCCTGCAGCCTCTTCCAAGAGGTTGGATTACAAAGGCTTTGCGTGTTGTCACCGGTGTGGACTCTCAAACAGGGAAACTTGGGAAAGTGGCCTCCAAGGTCAAGGTGAAGACCTGCTGCAGGCGGGTCCGGCCTCTTGGGACTGCCTGTCAGGAAGGGGTTGCTGTGGCCTGAGCTCAGGTCATTTCCAAGCCCCTGAATAGATTCAGCGGTGTGCACACGACTGCTCATGCTGTCTTGCTGACCGGGTTGGGAGGCAGGTAGAGCCAGGGGCATTTCTTTCCTGTCATGTGAACTCCCATAGAATCCCTGGCCGAGGTTCCATTGAGGACACAGCTGGATGACACTTGGTTCCTGCTCTCACAGAGTTCACAGTCAAGCAGAGATCCAGTCTGGTTGCAGGCCAGGGAGATGCACTGACCACAATTAAGACAGCTCTGCTGTCTGTCTAGGGACATGCCTCACACCCGGCTGCTTTAGTCACAGAGAGCTCCTTGGGTACCATGTGATGGGGGTCCCTATTTTATAGACAGAGATGAGTCTTCAGGGTAGAAACCCAAACCCCGGTCACACTCTGAGTCACAGCACAGGGACCATCTTCTAGACCCACACTGTCCCAGCCCAGGGGAAGGTCACCAAGCGGGCAGTGTGACTTTATTGCACAAGCTTAACTTAGCTGGCTTGGCCCTCGGAGGGGAGCATCCTAATTGGAAGCATCCCCTGTTCCCTGTGCCTCAGCTGCTCCCTGGTGTGACGCACATCTCAGGCCTAGAGAGTCTCCTGTTACCACTGTGTGTGTGGGAAATGTGTGCCTGGCCCCCACTTTGTCTTCCCTCCAGCTGTCTGCAAAAAACAGGCACGTTCAGGGTCATCTCCAACCCAGATGCATACAGCAACCTCTCTCCTGCTTCCTGCCTGGAAGGGTTGAGACAAGGCCACAGTGGCTCTGGGACAAGCCCGAGTGGTCTATATTGAGCCTGGCAGGGATCCTGGATCTGATCCTGAGAGACAAGAAGTTGAGGGCACATCTTGGGCCAAGGCTTGCAGGTGCAGGAGGCCACATGGCTCATCCTGAGCTGGTTCCGAATGGCTGGAGCACAGGAACGGAGACCAGCACACAGGCCTGTTTGGAAGTAGACAGTGAGCAAGCCAGCAGGGTCCCTGCTGTATTCCTAGCAGTCAGGAGCTTTACTAGCAGACCTGCCTCTGTCCCCTTGCTGATCGGGGCTCTAGCAGATGTCTTATTCTCCAGGATGTGAACAACTTTGATAAGTACTGAAGATCCACGGAGGCAGGCACTGCCTGGCCCTGTGTAGTGGTGTGTACCCCTGGGGTGTGTGTGTTTGGTGGGGCCTGTGGTGACCAGGATGTGTAGTCTCCCACTGCTAAGTCGAATTGAACTCCAGGACCATGGTGTTTGCCTGGCATCATGCACGGGATCCATGTTGTTCCCCTGGGGTTTTTTGGCTACATGTGGGGACATTTTTAGACATCACTACTGAGGGTAGCTGCTGAGCACCCAGGAACACAGAAGTTGGCCTCCTCAGCAGGAGCTAGAGTGAGTGGAGAAGTGTCCTCCTGTGGGCATGCTCCCATCTCTGTCCCTGTTTGGTGTCAGTCGCACACGCAGGCTTCTTATCGCTTGTCCTTGTAACTGACTCATCCACTTTCACCAGAGCATTTGTTGTCATTGCCAGCTGCCTCGCTCAGACACTTCCTGTACTCTCTGCATTAGTGCCTCTTGTTCAGGATGGCGAGCCTTGCTTAGGTCTTCAAATATGTGTAGGAGCTTCAAAAAGCATGTGGAAAAGTGGAAGTAGAAGATCCATTTCTTTTGATGCAGAAAAAGAGGAATTTAGAATCTGTTAGGTACTAGGGGTTCTTTATTTTAAAGTTTCACGGAAAATCTGTGTTACGAGAAGACTATGCATTTAACTTCGAAATGGTTTGCACCAGAATAGACTTGGATTTTGATTCCTTTTTCTGTGAACATTTTTAGGATCACAATGAGCATGACTCACCCCCTACCCTGAAGCCAACCTACTCCAATTTTTCCCCAGGAGATGAGAGGTTGTAGCCCAAAAGATCCTAGGAGAGCTTCCACCTGCCTGTGGGAGTGGGCAGGGTACAGGCTGGGTGGGATGTAGAGGGACATAGCCTTGGGAACCAGGATGAAGGCAAGAACATCTCTCCCTTCCACAATCCTACACCCCGCCCCGACTCGCGCCCATAGTGGGGGTTGGTTTCTGGAATCAGGAAGTGCGCCTGGTGTCTGAGCCTGCAGTGTTTGCCTTCAGATCTTAATAGGCCAATAAAAGCTTTTTAATGATCTGCTCCAAGACTGCGGTGCTAAGCAAGGAAAGGGAACTAGAATCCCCAGGCAGCGTGGTCCACTCAGTTCAACCCGTGTGGACTGCCACAAATGGCTGGCACACTGTGCCCAGGAGCCTGAGGCGCATGCTGGCCTTCCCAAGCTGTCTTTCCTGCAGCCTGCTCGGTTTGTGCCGCTCAAGCCATGGCCATTTTTCCCTGCTGGGTAGACCTCCATGAGCAACCCTGGACATCATCTTACTCTAGCCTCAGGCAGTCACCCAGTGCATGGCTTCACCTGTCTGGACGCATCAGGTTGTCCAAATGCAGTTGCACTGCTGCTGTCTGTAGCCAGGAAGATGAACACCATGATGCAGATGAATTCCATTAAGGAAATTGGCCCCACCTGACCCTCAGAAGCACAGGACGTGGGCTTGGGTGCCCAGAAAACCAGCCTGCCCACTCCTGACCCACCATGGGATGAGTGGAGCTCACCCTAACTCAGTGTGAGTGGTGGTAAAGGGGCTGCCAGCTAACTAACCTGGCAAAGGTGGTTCTTTCGATGTTTAGTCTTGAGAGAAGAACTCTTAGGGATGGTTGCAGGGATCTGGTGTTTGGCATAGCCATTAGGAGACCCCTTGAGGTACCCATATTTCATGTTGGAGTGCCTGGTTCATGCCAGCATGCACCCACGGAGGCACAGTACTTGGGTTCCCACAACTCATGTGGGAGACCCAGATTGAGTTCCAGCCTGCTAGCTACAATTTGACTCCAGTTCTGGCTGCTTGAGGTCACTTGGGCCTGTGAGATAACAAATGGGAGTTCTGTATGTCTCTCAAATAAAATGAAAGCAAAAGTTTTGAACATAAAAAAAAAAAACAAGTTTCATAAGTTCTAGTTTTACCAAAAAAAGTTTTTGCAGACTTTTTTTATGCACTCAGCACATGTGGCCATAAAAATCCCAGGGCTCAAATAGTCCAGGAGGGGAAATGGGGCCTCATGGAAGGATTGGGCGCCTGGACAGCACACAGCCCAATTTGGGTTGAGACCATGGGGTGTTGTCAGACCTCATTACGTGGCACTGAGGCAACAAGGAGGTAGTTTGGGAAGTGTCTCTAAAGTCGTGTTACAGTTACTTATGGCTGAGCAGACATGGCCCACTGACTTCAGCTTGTCATGCTGCATGTTTTGACAGGAAGATGAGATTCAACGTTGATTTGTGGGCTACTCCAAGTTTCTCAGGGTGTTGGCTGGGAAGCCAGGTAGGGCAGGGCTGTGTCTGAGGTCCATATCCCCACGGGTCCCTTGGGTTATAGGGGTATTTGCTCTCAGTGCTCTCAGCTGGAGCATGGTGAAGATGGCAGTGTAGACTGCCTCCCTCTCCCCGTTCAGATCCCACCTTAATGTTAAGCTTCCCTATGGGAGCAAGAAGTGCTGCACTATGGCTCACACTGTTGTGCAGGCGACCCAAAGATGTTCCCGCTGCCAAGAAGGACCTGTCACCAGGAGGGAAGTCAGTGGGACAATCAGAGAGCAAACCCCACTGTCCCCTCCAATCTAAGCATCAGAGTCATGGAGGCAACAGATGCAGCAATGCACGTATTTGGAGAGAGACAAAGCACAAAAACCAGGGGACCGAAGAAGAAGAAGAAGGAAATTCTGGGGGTGGGAGGAGAGGCTTGGGTGTCCGAAGAGTCACTGCAGTCACTCTGGGGTGCCCACAGGGCCTGGCTTCTCGGGCTTCCCAAGGGCTGCTGTCCTGTGTGTTTGTGTGCCCCCACTAATGTGCCCAGGCACTTGAGTCATCCTTGGATGACTCACAACACCTAAGACAATGTGGATGTTATGTGTAGTTTTGGGAAAGAGTGACAAGACGTCTGAACATTCAGTGTAGATGCTGTTGTTTTTATATATATACACACCACCACCACCATTCAATGCTGATACCACCATCCAGTGCTGATTAAATCTGGATGCAGGACTAGAGGACAGGGAGGGGGCCACACATGGCCACTCTTGGTGCCCACGTGTTGCTTCTGGACACACAGCAGTGCTTACATGGGAGAACTTGTCCTCTGTCTGCTTCTAGCAGCTCTTATCCCCTCTGTTGTGGCTATTAGGAATGCAATTTTTTTTAAAGATTTATTTTTATTATTATTTTTTTTATTGGAAAGGAAGATATACAGAGAGGAGAGACAGAGAGGAAGATCTTCCATCCGATGATTCACTCCCCAAGTGAGCACAACGGCTGATACTATGCTGATCCGAAGCCAGGAGCCAATTCTGGGTCTCCCACGTGGGTGCAGGGTCCCAAAGCTTTGGGCTGTCCTCGACTGCTTTCCTGGGCCACAGGCAGGGAGCTGGAAGGGAAGCGGGGCTGCCGGGATATGGGCCCATATGGGAACCCGGGCGTGCAAGGTGAGGACCTTAACCACTGCGCCACCACGCCGGGCCCAGGAATTCAATTTTAGTTCTGAAAGAAAGCTTTAGGTTTTGAGAGCCCATGCACACGCCTTCCTTCCTATAGTCTCACACTACGATGCTTGAAAAGCACCATGGTCCCCAGTCTGAGACTCTACCACATGCTGGCAGCAGCAGTGTCCACTTCCTTCTCCTTGCAGTCTTAGGTTGGGTGACCAGGTGGAATTCGCCCAATGCTGGGCTTTGCTTGGCTACTCCATTTGCTAGGAATAACATGGTTCCTTTGGGCCTCAGAAAAGTAGTATCATGTATTAAAATGGAATGTTCAGAAATCTCTTGGTCTTACCTACAACTTTTATTTGGGATTTGAACCCACCATTAAATTGGATCTCACCTCTAGTCATTCTTTAGTTTTACTGTGTGCTTCCCTAAGGGTCATAAAGTCATTATTGAACCCCAAGGCACATTCCTGCCCCGCCCTTAGCCGCCCTGAATTTCCCAGAACTCTCTGTACCTCTTTTTCCTTCTCTATGCCCCCCACCTGCACCTGGACAGTCGGGGAGTTGCCCTGCCTAAGCACAGGGGTTGGATGCTACTGGGCCTGGATGTGCAGCCATCTGCCTGTGGACAGGGGACCCAGCAGGTCCAGGCACAGAGCACTGTAGAATAAATACATGAACAGATCGCCAGCTATCTTAGCCTTCCCTGCTACTTCAGGTCCTTGGTGGATTCGTGTGTCATCAGGGACTACATATGGGTTTATGTGAGTGGGAGGACCAGGCGAGCCAAGTGGAAGCCAAGGGGCTTTAAGTAGGAGGTAGGCTCCTGACTGAATGGCTACAGCGCTCATTCTCTGTCCTTTTACCCCTCTTTTAGGTGGAAGGGGGCCTTGGTGAACTGGAACGGCTCGGACCCCATCCTGTGATCCTCAGATGGGGTGAGCCCTGTGTCTCCTCTGCTCCTCACTGGGGGCAACCCCAACCCCCCCACGCTCCCTGTGGACCTCAGGGGCGCAACTCTGAGAAGAGCATCACCCTGACTTGGGCCAGCTTTGTTCCAGGTGCACCCAAAACCCTCCCGGCTCCTTCGCATGGAGACCCTGACCAGGACTGAGCTGAGGGCTCTGTGCCTGGCTGCAGGACCTCTTGGCTGACCCTGACTGCCAAAGACTGGAAGGACAGTAATGGGGCCTTGCTGCCTGCCTGCCTCCCTTCTGTGCTATCCTCCTGGGCCCTTCACCAAGACACCTGATGTGGGCCCTGGAGATGTCTTTGGCTGGCTTTCTATAAAACAAGGCTCAAACTTGTGTTGAGACCCGTACGTTCTAATGCTTCAATGGGCACTGTGGATGTGCACTGTGTCCTCGTGGTGACCGGGAGGGATGGGGGACAGAAAGAGGAATGACCCGGATCCCAGGACTAGGGACAAAGATGTCTTTTGACCAGGGACTGTGCAGACAGGTGAGGTCTCCTGGTCCAGGGCTGGGCAGAGGCAGTTCAGGCTATCCCCAGCTCCCCCTAACTCAGTGCTGGAAGCATGTCTCCGGGCAGGCCTGGATCCTTTTGTGAATCACCATGAAGAAGGGGTAAGGAGGGGGACTCTCAGAGAGGGTTTGGGAAGGAGGCAAAGGACAGTGGTGAGAGGTGAGGGGAGGCATGGTCCCACTGAGTGATTGCAGGGAGCTTATGGGGGGCCTCCATGTGCTGTATCAAGGATGGGATGGGGAAATCCCCAAATGTAGTATTGGCAGGTGTGCAAATGCAACAGGAGATGCCTACCAGAGCTAGCCAAAGACCTAGCCTCTGCTGTCATGTGGCTGTCCACAGACAAGCCAGGAGCCACCAGCCATGAACCAGCCCCAGGGTCTGTGCCTATGGCCATGCGCAGGACCAGACATGCCTCCCTGCTGTGTCTGCCTAGTGCCCTGGATGGCAGCTTAGTGTCTGTGTGTGCCCCTGGCACAAACAGGCAGCCCTGGATTGGGGTCCCCTTGTAGTTCTGGCTGAAAAGGGGACCTCTTTTTGTGCAGGTGACAGACACATAGGAGGGCAAGACTGACATGTGACAGTGATAGCATGGATGCATCTGGGGAGAGGCCAGGAGGAGGAGCGGCTCAGTCCTAGCCATGCCGAGATCCCCACGGGGCTTGCTGTGTAAACTCCCGTGGCCATTCACAGCAGGTTTTCAGCAGAAATGCTTCCTATATATCCCGGAAATGTTCTTGCGTTGTTTTGCTTGGCCGGGCCCAGGGCCGCCCCCAGCTGAGAGCCCGGGTGCAGGAAGCCAGTTTCCCTGCAGCAGCCTTGTTTATCAGCCTGGGAAGGAAAAGTGTGTCTTTTCAATGAAACTACTTAACCTCCTGACCAGGAGGCCTTTGGCAGGGCTCAAGAAAACACACTCTTCCCAGAACCGATCTAGAAGACGGCGGCCAAACCATGCTGAACACGCTCTCATGGGAGCCAGGCTCCAGGTGCCCTGGAGTGTTAGATGAGCGAGGCTAGTACCACCCCTTCCCTCCCCAGCCTGAAGTAAGGGCAAGTCCCCCGCACCACCCCAGGCCTCCACACACGTGGGCTTTCTCCACCAAGTACATGGTTTTCCCGGGAGAACATGAGAAAGCTCGGAAGGAGTCCTGCCTGCCCCCTCAATCATACTGAAATCTTAGTGCCCGTGTACATAAATGTTCAGGGTCTACAACCTTGCTCATGACCTTGAACTTGGAATGATGCTGCCAAAAGGTAGAGAGCTGGGTTCTGGAGTTGATTGGTGTCTCAAGGGCCAGATTTGGGGTTTCGCTTTCTGTCTCAGCTCGCCATGTGCACGGCTGTTTTGCGGGTCAGGGGAACCCCAGCAGTACTGGCGCTCAAACCAGATTGGTGTGTGATGGCATCTTTAGGTGGATCATATTCACCCCTTGAGAAGCTCAGGATTTTGTAGGGGGTTGGTGTGGAAATGCACAGGCAGCCCCCATGATAAAGCATAGAAAGGACAGGTGACCAGCAGGAGAGGTTCCTTTTAGGTATGTGTGGGACAGTGTACCTTAGGAGGTGAGAGTGTGAAGTTGTCCACTGCTTGCCGTGCCCATATGACTGGAAGTACTGGGCTTGAACTTTGTGGGTTCTGGCTGAGCTGTCTGTGAAACTACAGCCTTGTGGGTCATTGTGAAGCTGAGTGAATGCACCGGAAGTGAGACCAGTAGCCTTGACAGGTACCGAGAGTTGGGTGGAAGGTGGTTCTCACTGAAAGCGATGCTGAGAGAAGGGATATCCATGTTGCCCTTGAGTCTCAGCCGGAGCTACTGGAGGCCTGGGGGAGCTGAGACGGAGTTACAGAGCCCCAGCAGCAGGGGCACCACAGTGTTTTGTCCTGGGGTGGCAGGAGGAAACTGCTCAAAGCCCTACTTAAGGGCTTCTTGGGGCAGGGATGTAGAGTGCTGGGTAGAGGCCAGGAACCCCCCTGGGGGCATGTGATTCTCCGGGGAAAGTGGTGCAGTGCAGAAGCAAGGAGTGGCACCCATGAGAGGCAACTGAGATGACCCTGCCGGGATCCCTGGCCTTTAGGGGATCGTCAGGCTGCCAAGTGCACTCATAGGTGCTTCTGTACACCTGCTTGAGTCCTTCCTACCCCCACTCAGGCCCTAATCCTTACAGGGCTGTGGGAGCTGTCATTGCCAGGCAAAAATGCCAGGCATTTGCGATAGTGGAGATTGTTTCATGCACCCTGCGGGCTGGGGTGGGGTGGTGCGGGCTGGCAGGCAGGTGGAAGAACTGCACCCGTGCCGGCCTGCATGAGCGCCAAGGATGCACACCCAGCAGCTTCGTTGTGTACTTGCAGGCGCCCTGCTGGCCTGGGTTGGGCTGGGCTGGGGCCTGGCAGTGGCCTTCTTCAAGTCATCCCACACTCCTGCCCACAGTCCTATGAAATATCTACCCTGTGTTCTGTCCACTCTTTGCTGGCGCAAATGGGAAGCTTGAGGCTCAGGCAGGACTCCTGAATTAAGAATCCTGTTAAGGGGTCTTTCAGTTTGCATATCCACATCTCACAAGCCAATCCAGCAGGTGGTCTTTGGGCAGAAGGAAATGAATCCGAGGGGGCTGGAGGCAGGAGCTTATTCCAGCTGCCCCTCTCCCTTGCCCTGCTGCCCTACAATACTCCACCCACCCAAAATTGTGGCACCTGCTTCCCTGGTGGTTCCATACTGCCTAAGCCTTCCCTGGTTCCTACCCTCAGCTCCCCACGTCCTTTTGTCACATCCCACCTGTCCTATAGCTCCAAGGCTGCCTCTTTGGATGGCTCTCCTAGGTTGCCCAGCTGCAAGCCCCAGGACTTGCACAGATGCTCCGTGGACAGTCCAGATGCCGATGAGTTGGATGTGAGTTTCTGGGTGACAGCTCCCCCCGCTGTCACACACACATACTCACAAGCATAGCTACATGCACATTCACACATATGCAACACATGTGCTTACAGATACACAGTCACGTTCATGCACAGACATGCACACGGGTATGTGTGCATGCACTTTACACACTCACTTTCACACAGACACACATGTATACATAGATGCACACATGTTTGCACATATGTACACGTGGACATGAGACTGAATACACACATTCACAGAGTCAGAAGCATGCACACATACACACGCAGTGCACACAGTGCTATTTCTTAGCTCGTAGCTTGGGGCTCCTCCCTCCCACCTGCCCTCATGAACCTGCCCCATCCTAAGAGGAAACCCTAAGTTCACTGTGCCTCTCTGAGGAAGCCCCTCCCTGCGCTGCACCTGCTGCCCCCGGTCCCACCTCCCAGCTGACTGCCTGCGCGGCCCTGTGTTGGCGAGGAGAGGCGCTAAGGTCTGAACCGTTGGTTACGGGTGTGGTTTGGAGATTAAACCTGGCGCCGCTCCTGTGGCCCTTGATAAGGGCACTCCTGTGTGCTTATCGGGCGCTTTCTGTCTCCCAGAATGTTGCCATCTTGCAGGGCAAGCCAGGCCAAGTGCCCCTCCCTGCCCCAGCCATGATAAGCATGTGCCCACCCACCTCCCCAAGCGGGGACTGCTTTTCTGGCCTGGCCCCCACTCCAGCACAGTCAGGGATCCATAATTCCATTAGGACATTTGTGTAAACAGACTGCTGTTTGTGTGTGTAAGGACAGGCAAGGGAAGGATTGTTCTCTTATTGATCCTCTCCTGTGGGCTCTTGGGCTCCCTGCCTTCTTGGACTTTACATGGGGTGTGGAGCTTGGGGGAAGGGTACCCCCCGGTACTGTGGGGGTTGCTTGGCATGAGAGTGAAGTCATGCCCAGCTTGTTGTGAGTTGAGTTGTGAGCATTAGGGAGCCATGGAGGACTTCAGAACAGGGCAGGGAGTGTGTCCAAGTTGCTACAGGAGAGGAAGGTCAGATGAATAGAAAGATGCCAACTTCTAGAGAGCAGGTAGAGAGTAGGTAGGGAGCCAGGAACTGGGACTCAGTGCTCCTCTCTCACCTCCTTCCACTGCCCATGCCCTCTGTCTGCCTCTGTCTGCCTGGCGGCAGTGCAGCCCTCCCCACTACTGCCTGCGAAACATCCTGCCTCTTGGCAAAGGCTGTCCCTGCCCGTCTTCCTTGGCAAGCTATGAAGGAGGGGGCCTCAATGCAAGGAAGTGCCCGCTATCCCAGTTCCAGCCATGGCTGGACCCACTGCCCATTGTTCTCCCTGCCGCCTCTGACCTTGGGCCAGCTGGACTGGGCCACCCAGCTCCCTTGGGCCTGGCCACCTCTGTGTCCCTCTGTGGATGACAGCCAGGCTGGCAGTTAGTTCTCTGTACCCTTGGAGAGACTCAATATCCCCACTCTGTTCCCTGAGGCTGGGAGCACGGCTGTGGCAGCTTGTGGTCAGGGGTCCAGTGGGCAGCATGGAAAGTGTCCCCCTTTTTCAGGCAGAAAGGCTCTCATTCCCATGAAGCCTTAGGTTATTAAGCTGCCACTTGCAATGCCAGCATCCCATATTCAAGTGCCAGTGTGAGTTCCAGCTGCTCTGCTTTCGATCCAGCTGCTTGCTAATGTACCTGGGAAAGCAGTGGAATATGGCCCAAGTGTTAGACGCTTATCACCACATGGGGGGACCAGTAGGGAGTGCCTGGCTCCTGCCTTTTGTTGTGGCCATTTCAGGAGTGTACCAGTAGATGAACAAAGGCTCTTCTTTCTGTCTGTCTCTTCTTGTCCCTCTGCCTTGCCAATAAATAAATAAAAGTCGATTTTTTTTTTTTAAGTTTCAAGTGCTTAGGACAGGGCGTGGTGCCTGGCAAATGCCCAGCA